TTTAGCATTGAAAGGAAATTAAATTAATTAATAAATATATTGATAAAAGAATTAATCACTTAATTAATTAATAAAATTAATCAATTTAGCTTCTGTTTTGAAATTAACTAGAAAGTCGATCCAGATTTAAAACTTTAAAATAAAACTTTAAAACTAAAAATATCTAATATTAATAATTCCTTTACAAATTTCAAGTCTCAAACTCCTTATAATTTCATGTTTTCTTCGAAATTTTTTTCAAAATAATTCTTTTTTAAAATATTTCTCTTCAAAATAAAATCTTTGTCCTCTTACATACCTTTCCAAATGTTTTCTAAATCCGTTTGCTCCTTTTAAATGTCACGTCCTTTTCTTCTTCAACTGGTATTCGATTACTTATTGTCTTCACCGATTTACATACAATCAAATCGTCAATATGGATTTTTTTCACAATTTCATCAGTATTATTAATATATATAACCTAATTGAATAAAATATTCGAGAGAATGAAATGTTGTGTCGTTTGATAAAATTATAGAGATCTCGTCCTTGCCGGCGAAAAGAATCGTGATACGAGACGTGTGAATCGATCAGCAGCTACGACACGACTGATTGAATCGGCCTTCGTTGTATTCCGTTGTATTTACTAGGTTCGTCTCTGCCGTCTTCTCATGCTATATTCGTCTACGTGTAGTACATATACTTATAAATATAGTTTCATAAAATTGATAGTTCATTGTACGAAAGTGAAGTCATCAGGTTTTATTCCAGAGATATGTGTTCTAAATAATGATTATCAATAATCAGGAAATTCGAATTAAATTTATCTCCTGGGATTTCCTAAATTTCTTCGTAAGAATATTTTGTTTTGATGGAAATAATAAATGAAGAGTATAATTTCGAAATTAGTGATTTATTTGATTTTCTCTGAAAATGACAAATTATTGGGAAAAAAATACGAATGCAAATTTGAATTGATATTTTGATATGAATAATTGGTATAATGTTAAAAAAAATTGAAGAAAGGAAATTGATAATTATTATATTAATTTAATATATATAATAATTATTATTATATTATATTATATTATATTAATAAGTCAAAGGAAAAAAATTAAATATTTTAACATAAATAAATATAAAAATAATTGTTTTATTCAAAATGGAAACATTTAAAAGTAATGTAAAAGTAATTAAATAAAAATAAAAGTTGATATCTTGCATTTTATGAAAAACTGAGTTAATTATAAAAATTAAATTAAAATATAATTATAAATAGTTCTATTTATAATTATATAGATATATTTTAAAAATTAAAAATATAACTTTATATGTAATAACTTTTATGCAGAAAGTAAATCATGCAATTATGATTATATTTTTTATATAATTTCTAAAGATAAAAAAGAATAATATAATAATATTTATCTTTTTGTTTTACTATTTATTTTGTAAATAATAATTTGTAAATAATATTTTGTAAATAAACAATGTAATAATAAGAATATTAAATATTTATTATTATTTTTTTATCCTGATATTTTAGTAATATTATTTTTATATTTTCTATAAAAAATTCTTGCAAAACCTATAATATTATTTCATTTATGAATATCAAATATTCAGGAAAAATACATATTCTTTTCTTTTCGAATAAAAATATCATGCAATAAAAGTTAATTGATGATCTTTTCGTTTTTAATATGTCATTATTAACGTGTACTATCAACCAAAATTCCAAAAATAGATTCTCCAAGAAAACTATTCATTCATGGATAGTTATATCTTTTATTGAATGATGATATCTTGTTTGTTCAATTGACATATAGCAAAATTTACGATAACATGAATCCACATTTTAAGGATTTATTTCTCGAAAAAAATGATTCGCCAATATTGAAAAAAATAATAAATTTAATTCCAATAGTAAATGTTTTTCTAAATGACACATTCTTGGGAAAATCCATATACATATTTTATTCGTATCTTATCTTATAGTATTTATAATATAGATTTATTATCAAATAATCAATTAATATTTAAATAAATATAAATAAATAAATATTATTTAAATAAATAAATTATAATTCTAAGAATTTAAAGAATCTAATCAAAATTTTTATTGAAAATACTTATTGAAAACTGAGAAATTTTTCATTTAAAGAATTAAATATTAATTAAAAAACTAATTTATATTCTATTAATTTACATTAATTATTAAAAAATATATGATGTTATTATTAAAAATATTAATAAAAGATTTTAAAAATATAAAACCATGAAAGTATTAACAAAATATAAAATCATGATTAATATTAATATATTAATATATCAATGTTAATCCCAAAATTAATATTCTTTAGATCCTATATTTTTAATTAATAATTAATTCAATTTTTGAAAAGCTTAATTAAAACAATTACAACACAAATGATTTCTTTCAATTATTCAGTGATCAAAATTGATAATAACTTATAAGACATATCCGGAGTAGAAACTTACTTAGCCAGTTGACTAATTACATGCCATCAGGAAATTCGAATAATCGATGATTACGTGGGTTACCGGAACTATGGGATGCGTATCTTCAATGGGGCATACCAATTTCATCATGCAGATTATTTGCTTGCATTTACACTCCTCAAATTGAGATATAGCAATCGATAAAATTGATAAGGATCACGGACTCTGCGTGAAAAATCCTGCAGATAACTAATTGCATGTTATAAATAAAAAATCGATTATTGATTTAATCATTTTCTCTTATAACTATTTTTGTATATTTAATCATATAAAGATTTTTTTCTAAATCCATTTTCTCGAAAACATTACTACGTACTACATGAATAAATTTTCATAAAAATCATGTTTTATTATTTATGTATTTATTATTTAATCGTTGAATATAATAATATGAATTCTTGTTCATTTACTATTAATCTTTTATTCATTTATTATTATTATATATTATTCATCTTTCATTCATTTGTTAATTCATCGAAAACTATTGTATATATATATTCGTCGATAACTATTGTATATATATATATATTCCTTCAATTATTACTTCCAATTAAAATAATTATTTATATAATTAACATACAATTACTTTATATTTGTTATTTATAAGTAATAAATTAAATTTGTTTATTACATTTTATATCTTATTCTAAATAACTTCTAATATTGTCATGAATATAATATGAAATTATATATGAAAGATTCCAATGCATGGGAATTTTTTCGAAAATTTTTCGAATTCAAATTGATAAAAATTAGATTCTTTTCAGATGAAAAAAATTTAAACTGAAATACATAATGAGAAATAAAATTTTAATAAATTGTTTTAATAGAAATTTTGACGAAAAAAATTTGTAAACAAGAAAAATGCAACATAAAAATGTATTTTGTACATTGTATATAAGATGACAAATTATATTATGATAAAAAACATTCTATATATATATAAATGTATTCAAAAATTAGAATATAATTTCATTTATATTTAATTTTAAAAAAATATTTGTTGAAAATATCAAGTTTTGTTATTGGAAGTTATAATTAATCATTGGTATGTTAAAATTAAAATTAAATTTTTAATTTATCAACACTAGATTTAATTCCAATAGTATCATTATTCAAGACAGAATAATTTTAAATAATTTTAAATAATTCTTTATTTTTGAATTGTGTATTAATTCAATCAATTATTAATTCATCGTTGATATTTAAATTATTGGAAATTTTTCTTTATAAAATATTGATACATATCTATATATAGGTACATATTATACTATATTATGTATTAAATTTATGATAATATAAATATAATATAAATATAATAGCAATATAGCAAAAATATTATTAAAAAAACAAAATATTTTCACGATTACTTCACAATTCGATTTATTGATTGCATATTATAGGATAAAATCTATGTTGATAATGTAACGTGATAAACAAAAGAATTCTGTTCAAAGAATTTTTATGTTTCTCTAACATGAAAATAAATTATCAAAATAAAAACTTACGTTTTTTGTGCTAAGTTTAAATATGTAATGTATTCTAAAGTTGAAAGATTTTATAAAAAAATTTTAATTTTAATTGCATTTATTTCTCAAATATAATTATTTATATTTACTTGAATTTTATGAAATACAAAATAAATATGAATAAAAGAATTAAATAACAAATTTTTTATAAAATATAATTTTATAAATATTAACTTTTCTTTTTTTATTTTCATCCAAAAAGAAATATGTTTGATAACCTTTCTATTAAGATTGTCCTCGTTCCGAAAACAGACGTTTAACTTGTTCGGATATTATCCCCACTATTCATATTACTTGTAACTTATAATGGAGATTCTATTCTATACATATATACATATAAGTATAAAAAATACGTAGTAACGATTAATTTTATATATATATATATTTTTTTTATACATATTATGCACACACACACACATATATATAAATAACAATAAGAAAATTTTCTTTAATAAAAAATTTTTATCTTAAATATTAGTTATATTATCAATATTGATAATGAATTAATAAAATATTATTTTAAATATAATTTCTAAAAATTATAATTTATTTTAAATATATTTTAAATAATATCAATAATCATTTTATATATATTACATTATATAGATATAATATATAGTAATATAATATATTACTATATATTTATACATATTGTTTGTTGATTATATTTTTTTTAAGCACAATATCCTGTGAAAAAAAAATTTTTATATAATTTAAATATAATAAAAATATAATCATTTTCTTTCTATTTTAATTTGTTCTTTTTTCTTTTCATGAAAATTTGCCTTTATCTATGATAAATATATAACACTTGAACTTATTGATTTCTCCTATCGCGTTACGATTGGACGACGTGTCAGCATCCGATTCTACATAAGAACGAACCAATGAACGATCTTCCTTTTTATGTGTGTGTGTAACTTACTAGTTAGGAGCGGAAGCATTGCCCAGTTGCTCGTTTCCGTCTTCCCAGTGCCTGTCAGCCATTACTGCTCTGCTCGCCGGGTCTTGCAGGGTAAGTCTATCCGAATATATTATCTTTTTTTATATAAATTTTTTGTCATTTGATATAAGATTATTATAGAATTAATATGTTCATTTATATATTCATTTTATTAAATTTCTTATATAATTATTTTTGATCATAGGTGTAACTGGTACAACTGACATACTTTCCGAAAAATCGAAGATCGTTCCTGCGGAACTGGTAGTGTGTCAGCAGATTCTTCCGAACTTTTGCCGAGATGTATAACAATAGTTATTCCAATCATACCAGGTAGAATATTTTAATTTAAATTATAACTTTTAAATATTACATATGTCAGTACCATACGTTATGAAATGTTAAAACTGGAGAAGTTTTTTTTTTTTTAATATCGTGATCTCCACCATTTTGTTCATGGATTCTCTTATTCGTCATTTTTATTGAATTATTATTTTGTGTTGAATTAATGAAATCACAATTTATGGAAGATTACTGTTCTAAAATGATAAAAAAAATTTACTTGTAACAAAATGTATACTATTGAATAAGATCAAATGAGTCATAAAAAAAAGTAAAATGGCGGTGTCATTATCTAATGGAAAGCTACTGACAACCATAAGATGAAAGTACATATAAAAAAATTTTTTTTAAATCTTTGTTATTTAATATTTTTATAATAATCATTATTATTAATGATTTCTTAAATTATTTTTTTTCATGTGATATATATAATATGATATATTAAAAATCATTTTTTATTAATATACAATATACTTCAAATATAAATAATATATAATAATTATATTATCATTATAATAATATAGTAATTTAATATCATTTAATATTCTATATTAATGATTTAAATTTAATATTAAATTTTAAACATATTAAAGAATGAGTATCATTTTATGAGAATTAGTTACAGACCCAGGGGAAGTAGAGATTCTACCAATCGTAATGGAGGGGGAACATATTGGAATAGACAACAACAGACAAACAAAGAGAAGTCAATTAAGAAGCAAGTCCAAAGAAGAACTCCTGGAGATTCACTGAAAAAACCTAGCTGGGATCTCTCTAAGTTACCAGTGATCACAAAAAATTTATATATTCCACATATCAATATTTTAAAACGATCCAGTGATGAAGTTAATAAATATCACATTGGCAAAGAAATCACTGTGAAAGGAAACAATACTCCTTCTCCAATTCAAGCATTTGAAGAAAGTAATTTCCCAGATTATGTAATGGAAGAGATAAGAAAGCAGGGTTTTGCTGAACCAACAGCAATCCAAGCACAGGGTTGGCCAATAGCACTCAGTGGTCGTGATTTGGTTGGAATTGCTCAAACAGGATCTGGAAAAACTTTAGCTGTATGTATTTTTATATATTTTTTTCATATATATTTCATAAATAGTAATATACTTTTATTTTTTTAATTTTTGATTACACCGTTTATTAAATATAAAAAAAATAAAATTTGAAATATTTATAATAATTTAGAAGAAATTAAGATTTTAATATTAAAGATTTGATTAATTCTAATTCTTTATTATTAAATCATGTCAATGAAATATGTTAATGATATAATTGATCATTATATTGATTAAATATAAAAAAAATCAGATTTCAATATTTTTTGTATATATTTTTGAAAATATATATTGTCTAAATTATTGATAATTTATCAAATAAATATTTTTAGATGATTAAATTTAAGAATTTTGTTATTGATATTTTTCAGTATATATTACCAGCAACTGTACACATTAATCATCAACCACGTTTGAGCCGAGGAGATGGTCCCATTGTTTTGATACTCGCTCCAACAAGAGAATTAGCCCAACAAATTCAATCTGTTGCTAGAGATTTTGGTTCTTCCTCCTGTATTCGTAATACTTGCATCTTTGGTGGTTCTCCAAAAGGGCCTCAAGCTCGTGATTTAGAACGCGGTGTTGAAATATGTATTGCAACTCCTGGTAGATTAATCGATTTTCTCGAGAAAGGAACTACGAATTTACGCAGATGTACATACCTAGTCTTAGATGAGGCGGACAGAATGTTAGATATGGGATTCGAGCCTCAAATTCGAAAAATCATAGAGCAAATTAGACCTGATAGGCAAGTATTGATGTGGTCTGCAACATGGCCAAAAGAAGTACAAGCTTTGGCTGAAGATTTCCTCTCAGATTATATTCAAATTAACATCGGTTCTTTGACATTGGCCGCTAATCACAATATTCGTCAAATCGTAGAGATTTGTCAAGAGCATGAAAAAGAAATGAAACTTTCAAATCTTTTGAGAGAGATCGGCAAAGATCGAGGAAGCAAGATGATAATTTTCGTTGAAACGAAAAAGAAAGTGGACGATATTACCAAAGCTATTAAACGAGAAGGTTGGCCTGCTATCTCTATTCACGGTGACAAATCCCAGCCTGAGAGAGATTACGTGTTATCTGAGTTTAGAAATGGAAAAACAATGATTCTTGTTGCTACCGATGTTGCTGCTCGTGGCTTGGACGTAGAAGATGTGAAATATGTAATTAACTTCGATTATCCGAACAGTTCTGAGGATTATATTCATAGAATAGGAAGAACTGGACGTTGCCAAAGTGCGGGTACTGCTTATGCTTATTTTACGCCTAATAATGCTAGACAAGCAAAAGAACTAATTTCTGTTTTGGAAGAAGCTGGTCAAGCAATAAATCCACAACTGGCCGATTTAGCAAATTCGATAAAACCTGCATACGGAAAGGGTCGCCAACGTTGGAGTCATTCTCGTTCTAATAAAGATAATAGTTCTACTGGAAGCCCAAGAAATAATAGTAGCCCGATTTCGAATAATTGGCAAAATCAGCACGTTCAGAGTACTCAGCACAGTAATGGTAGCAGTCAAGAAAGGACTGTTGTACGCCAGCAAAATGGATATCAGGCCAGTCGACAGAATAGTTTCCAATCTAATTATCAGCCGCAACAACATCAACAACCGCAACAGCAACAGCATCAACACCAACAACATCAACAACAGCAGCAGCAGCAGCAGCAACAACAACATCAACGGCAACCGAATACTTATACCAATGGCTGTCAAACTACAAATAGCTATTCAGCTAGTTATCAAAATGCAAATATTCCTAGATATCATGGAAGAACAGGAGGTTTTCAAGGAAATCGTTATCACAATCGTCAGAGTGCTTACAACACCAATCAGACACCTGGAGGACAAAGCGTATATTCTATGCCGCCTCCATTCATGATGCCATCTGCTGGCGGACATACAGCTGATTCCTCCATGCAAAGCCTCGTTAACAACAAGTTTTTCCAGACGAATCGTCCACCACCAAATACTGGTGCTTGCGCGTATCAATCGATGGGATATAGTCAGTTCCAAGCTGTGCCACCGTATAGTTATCCTTATCCGCCTACACCAGTGCAGCAGTGACGCTTTTCAAGGTATAAATCGGTAAGAGTGCAGGCTAAGTAAGAAAATCAATTTTTCCTCTTTATATCAGGCCCATTATATATTTACGGTTTGTGTAGACAATTGGGTCTCTTTTGAATATATAAGTAACATAATGTTTCCTCTTTTCATTGTCATTTATTATTTTTTCTGGAATGATGCCTGATTCAACGCATTCGACGAAGCAAAATTATTTGTGTTTATTCGAAGAAAGCAGAGACAAAGCAGAGACAAAACAATCGATAATTTGTTGGTTTTATTATAGTTATAAATATTTAAATTGGAACGTTTTCAAACATTCGAGAGAAAAAAAATAAAAAAAATTAATTATTACTTATTAATAATGTAGGCACATTCCAGTCAAGTTTTTTGAAGTAGTAGTAGTAATTATTTAGCAATGATATATTGATATAATCATTACTGGATGTAGAATATGACCAACAAATGTAGACTTGTAACTAAGTGGTCATATCCTAAAAAGTAATTAATCTTCTTGAGATAAAACTATGTAAACGTCATTTAATGCTTTCCCGAAATGCACGAAACGTATAGAAGGGGGGTGGGTTAACGTTTTCATATTTGATAATTTATTTATATTTTGCATATATATATATACGTATGTACAGGCAACGCTCTTCAAAATGTAAGGCCTTTTGCATAAAAATTAAGCCGTACACCCGTTTTTACAAAGCGCACGACGAATATAAAAAAAAATATCGTGTCCTCTGTTTTGTAACGAGACTGGGTGTTGTGTCTCTTTGATAATAGGGGAAAGGTATATCTCATCAAAATTAAAGAACTTTGATGGAGGATAAATCCAGCATAATTATATAGCGTACAAAAGTGAGTACTTCGAAACTATCCTGGGCCGGTATCTTTGGAATAAATTCAAAGCATAAAACCGGCTAATGGGGAAGAGAAAGGAAAACTTAAATTAAGCATGTAGTCACAATGGCTGTGTACCTCGGCGCAAAGTTTGATACCTTATTTTTATAATATATATCGAAAGTAATTTGTTGTTAAACCAACGAATGATTATACGAAGATAAAAAAAGTAAGAGAAACATTGTTGTTTGATGTTTATGCAATTGGCCACTGAGTGGTCTTGTCCTTGCGCGACCGTGTACAATGTATATAGGTGCACGCGCAGGCTGGCCGCAAATCGAATAAAATTTAGTTGTACCTGTTTTTTAGTTCGCGCTCATCGAAATTCTTGCTATTTTTTAGGGAACGATTCAGACTATCCGAAAGGCATTTTTCTATTGAAACGTTTAAGAAAAAAAATATTGCGCTGCCGTGAACGTATTGAACGCGTGATGAAAGAGTTTTTAACTTATGGTATTGATCCATGTGTTGTATATATCGTTATGGCCATTCCGAAGTGGCTTCCAAGGAAATTTCACGTGATAAATGATACGAAAAATAATGAATAATGAATTCATGCCGCGAATCGGGCACGAAAACCGTTTATCGACAGCGCATAGCGATTTTTTGCGGGCCTCCAGATTACACTGTACACGTCACTACTCGAATAAACGAACAGCAAAGAAAAGAGCCAACAGAGAAGAATGCAAGACTCGAATATACACTCGAGCAAGGACTCGTTTGCGAACGACATTATTGTGATAATTATACGTAACGCTTTCGTGAAACGGTCTCACAGTTCGTTACTTAATTACGCACAGTAGAAAATGTTGTGAAGCAGTACGTGTGCACAATAACATTTCCGGTTGATTCACTAAACCGCGTCACACGCATTTCAAGCGGATTTTGCTCGATAAGAGAGGAAAAAGCTCTATCGATTCGTTTCTAGGTTTCCACATGGTAGTCTTTATATTCTTCTTTTGCTGAGCCGATAGATTGGATATTTCAAAATATATGGTGGGGTCGCGAACAGAAGTTAGGCATTCGCGGTATATTGTTGTCTTTGTCCTTTTCAACATTGTGAATGCTTATACGCTCCTACTGCGTTGATCTGACTGCAACATGTTGCGTTGTCAGAATGAATAGTGATATAAATAATAGGAAGCGTATGCTACGAGTATTGGACACTTCTGAATACTCATACATTGCGTACGCCCTCTATTAAATCATCTTATTGATTTTTGAAACTTCGTTTAATCTATGTCTTTTCATCGTTGTTGATCAGTAATTTTTCTTTAGTACACTAATTATCTATTTCTTCTGAATTTTTCTTAGTACGTAGTCTACTATATTTTGGCAAATAGCAGACTATTGTAGTGCAATTCTACATCTTTCAATTCCATCCATTGCAAGTAATGCATCTTTCAAGCATTTAATCAATAATTGAGGCTTATAGATAGATACATATATTGCTGTCATAAAAATTTGACAGATAAATTAAAGTTTCTTCTAAATATTTCAGATAGCCTCAGAATTATAACCCTTTAAGCTGTGCTACATTTGTTCCCATATACTAAAGTGAAATGAAAATTAATGACCGTCGAATATGCATATCTTTTCTAAAACCAAATCTCTAAACGTATGGTCATAGAATTTTCTTAGAAACTTGTTATAGTTGAAAAAGTTTAAAAAGAAGAACGCAGAGCAAATATTGAACGTTGGACAGTAAAGGGTTAATATTTTACATTTCATTTAACAGAACACATAACAGACATCATGCTTTTAAGTTTTTTCCTAAATAAAATAAATGTTCTAACGAAGTGCAACTTGCATTTTGAAAATTGATAGTGGGTGTACGCGTAGTTCTGTGATATGTAAGATGTAGCATATTTATAGATCTACCTATCGTGCATCATGATTAAAATAAGGAACGTATCTTATCAGTTTTATACGTGGTATACAAATCATATGATCCTAAATGACGTGTACTGCGAGAGCTGTCTACTTTAAGGAAAGAAAAACAAAAGTTGTTGCGAAAAAGCGAAAGATCAGTATTCCTTTTTTTTTTTTGTTTGCGTTTGCCGTGCGAATTCGTATATTGTCAGGGTAGAGAATAGGGAGAAGAAATTGGAATATGAAAACGTGTATTACTTCAGAGCGTTCTTCTATTCATGAATATCCAAGTTTTTTATTTCATTATGTAGTCTGATAAATTCATCTTCTAAGCGTATATGAAGATGTAGACACAAGGGTTCTTCATTTCTCTCTTTCTCATATATTGTGAAACTATTTATCTCTTTTTTTTTTGTATGTTTGTCTATTTTATTAAGATATAGTCTTCTAAATACTTACGTGTTTGTTGCTAACAAAGGAATCTATGAAATTTCAGTATTTTTCAGCTATGGGTTCTTTTTTGTTCTTTTTACTTCTCTTTTTTTTTTATTTGCGTTAATGAACAATTATAAATCTTATGTTCATTTGTAATCGTACTACGTGTAACAAGAACTGTTAAAAACATGGATGCGTATTTTTCGTATAGTAGAATATGCGGTATACTTCATTTCTACGGTGCAAAATCGTATCTCTGAAGTCTACTTTCTCCCTACTAGTCGATATTCATTTTTTTTTTTTTGTTCTTTTTTTGTATTATACTCCGTTTTGTCGTGTTGTTAGGGAACATCCATTTCAGCTGTACACTTTTAATGTAACTCTTAACGAGATCAGTCATCTCTAGTTGATAACGAAAGATTTCCCGGAGAGAAAAAACGAAATCTTATTCTCTTGTTGTTACAAAATGAAAAAGCGGAAACGAAACTAGTGTTCAACACTAAACTTTGCAATATCGATGAACTCGAATATCTTGGTCGATAATATTTCTAAGTAAACCGTACATATATTTTTTTATATCAGTTTTCAACAGTGATGGTAAACGTTGAACGAATGAGATGAGGGAGGTAGTTTTCAAGATATCTGTATGACACGCCTTCCGTCTGTTTAATTGAAGAAAAGGTTCGAAAAATATATTCTCGTGAAATCTTTGCGCTTGCATTAAGCACACTCGTTCAGGTCATGTTAGTTGATCGATCGAACTTGTAACCTTATATTTATAATCTGTTGTTCGTTTCACTCGAAGAAAAAAAAAAAAAAAAAAGAAAAGGAAAAGAGTCAATGAAACGATAAAATCGGCACAGTTTTTCGTGTTGTAAAGATCGACGAATAAAATGACGTCGAGTTTTACGTGCTGAGAAAATCGTTAATGACACTAACATAGTCTCGGGAACACGAGAGTACCTTTTTAACGATTAATGCTGAACGCTGTGATATCGCGTACATAAACATTTTTATTATTATAAACATAAATGTGCATATTGTAATGTTAAAAAAAAAAAAAAAGAAGAAGAAGAGTACATATTCTCCTTTATATGTGAAGACTGAATCTCGCCAACTTATACACAGGTTTAGCAGCCGCAGATACGTTCGTATACTGGATAGACTACAGATAGACTATTTGTACATTATTAATTGTAACAATATGTTTTTACGTCGGTAGTGCCGTATGTGGGGACGGTACTACTATGTTATAGTTCGATAACGGGTGCGTGTTCGTATTGTGCATTTTTTCTTTTTATTGAGAATTAATGTCTTCGGTGTGTCGTGATGAGAAATTCGCCAGATATTTCGCGTTTACTTTCCATAGAGGTTGGAATAGTTGCACGAATCTGGTTTCCTGTTTATTTCTTTCTTTTATTTTTTTTTTTTTCTACAATTTCGTTTGATTCTGGTCGAAAAAGAATTCGATCAAAAAAAAGGAAAGATATCAAGTTAAAAATATCGTTTGTATTTGATTTTCGAATGATTGCTTGCCACGTTTCACTTGTTTTTGATTTATCAATTATAGATCGTTCGTGAAATAAAGGGACATTACAACAACAACAGTACAATCCGTTTCATGATAGTTCCTATATTGCATTCTTCTTTGTAACGTGAATGAATTGCAGCTTAAATTTTTGCTAAGATGAGTCAAAGAATTTTCACACTTTTTCTCTGCGTATCGTTCTATTTGGTTAAAAAAAAAAAAAACTTGCGAATATTTTATTGGTGTAGTCACATGTGTGCATTGCCAAGTCTGTTATTATTATTATTTTTGCGATTGTGTCACAATTGTTAACTTTACCACTATCTTTCATCAGTTTCTGGAGAAATGTACTAAAGATTGTTGATCGTTCATCAACGACGATTGGAAGTCGTGGATTAATCTCATATGTGTAAAGTACATTTTTCTTTCGTTATGTAAGGTTTAAGAAAGAAATGGAAAAGTGAATACGACGTTAAGATTAATTTTAGGAAAACTAAATTTGTTACTATCTTCGTTATTTATCCGTAATATTATGTCGTTTTTTTTTTTAAATATTGTGAAATAAGCGTAAAAATGATTGTTTCCTATGAAAAGTGATATCGTTCGTAATATGTAAACGGTAATATTGTTTGTTTGTTTCTCTTTTTCTTTTTTTACTAATAATAAATTTAGTTTTTTCCTAATGTCAAATGTAGACTTGTTAGTGTATGCATGAATGTTGAACACTGTACACTGCACGACAAAATTTACTGTGCAAACTTTTACGAAACTATGAAGTTAATGCAGTTTACGATTCAGATATTTATCATTTTTAATAATGCGTCTTTTAATGATGGTACATATTTAAGCCTGGGCTAATTAAAAAAAAAAAAAAAAAAAAAAAACGGTACCTTCAATTGATCTTAATGTGTGCTGAGATCTTCGAATCAACAAATCTTATACATCTTGTTTAAATTTATATAATATTCCATTAAAAAATGCGTCATGAGAATTGTATCGATGGTAATAAGTGAGTGCAGAGAATACTATATAACAAAATTTCTATAATGGCTAATGTATTAATTGATTTCATAATTTGTGTATTATGTTCAAAAATTTCGCGAAAATTACAAGATTTATTTAGATCTGCGTACACTATTTTCATAGTTATATTATTGTTTTATATATATACGTATATGTCAACTTTTGTAATTACTTGTTAAACAATTAAGTAATTATAAAAGAAATCGTCTTTTTTTCTTTTAATGCAATTTAACCCTTTTGCTAAAAATGATTAAGATTACTAACATATATATTTTTATTATAAAAATTTCGTACAAAGTTTGTTTCTTACACTTTCTAATGTTAATTATAAAAAACATAATAACAACATTAATAGATTATTAAAGTTCATCAATTATTCATGATTTTTTATTCGAATAGTAAAAATTCATAAAAAAAATTCATCAGATAAAAATAAATTGAATTGAATAAAATTTCGTTTCAATAAAAGTAGAGTTCAGTGAAAATTTATTAATAGTTCATTGAATTCGTAAAAGTGAAAGGGTTAAATTCATAAAATTATTTCTATTTTAATATAAATGTTATTCATTGTTTTTCCTTGTGTGCAAATGTTCGCATTTTTCGTGATTGTTCTCAGAGTAGTGAAGCATACGAATCCGTCGTATCTCGTCTTTTTGAGAGCATAATATCTCACATTCAAATTATCTTCAAACGCGTATTTTTGGAGATTAAAAATTATTTGACCGATAATTCGTATAAGCATAATTTATGTGATCATTATCACACTATGCACTTATTTTTTCGAGCGAATCATAAAAATGAAAATGATCCTCTCAGAAATGTGAAATCGAAAAACGAAATTGAAAAGCGTAAAGGTGTTATAGGAATTACGCGATCATTGCGTGAAAAACGCAGTTACAGCACGGTAGACTTCCTGTTGTTGTAATACTTCATTTGTTGATGCGTTTGTTCTGAACGCGCATTAGGAAAAAGGAACGATATTAAAAAAAAATAAGGAAAAGAAAGTAGTTTGAAGAAAAAGCGCTAAAAAGAAATATAATATGCTAAATTGCAAAGAAAGAAAAACAGAAATATTGATAATTTAGTAATGCGTAATTTTAGTCGTTTCTACGAGACCAGAAAGTTGAGAGAGTTCAGATCGCCGATGGTATCGGGAAAGATGTACATTTAAAAAAAAAAAAAAAAAAAAAATACAAATAGGTATTCTGTAATTACGGCTTTATTGATTCATCGCGCCTTACAATATGAAAGAGCTCGGCCAACTTTCATCAAGATGTGTATGCAAAATTGCGAACACTCTTAGATTCGAAACGATAAAAAGAAAAAAACCGCTCCTTGGTCGTCCTCGAGTAAATTGAGACAAGCGTTTGCTAGAATTGTTCGAACTGCAGCACAGAAGAACGGCATATAACTGTATTGCATTCTTGTTGAGTATAAGAATATGCAAAAGAGGCATGCAAGAATATATATTTGCGTCAATTTTATGTATAAAAATGACATTTATCAGTTCTTTATATAAATATATATATGTATATAATGTATGTTTGCATATATATATATAAATATATACAGACATAATTCTAAAAAAAATGGGATATTCTATTAGGACAATGCTGTCCATCAAAATTGATGATCTATTTAGCGCTTCTTTAACATTGTTATTAATAGACAAAGAAGCTAGAAGATTCTAATGGAAGAGTAGTTACGCATGTTAATATATAGTTGTTATTTAATCATGTTAAAGCCTGTGCTATAACAAAAGAAAAATAGAAAAAAACCTAATTTTTAAGTTTTATAGCTTTAATTTAGACAGCATTGTTTTAGTAGATAGAATATTCTTGGTGAATAAAAAAAGTGATCGCTTATCACATTATTAACAGATTCACTGCTACCTTATTTTGATAATTTATCACTGTACTAAACTGTAAAAAAGTACATTTAAAGAGAATAACGACAGTGTACACTTATCGCAATGAACTTGGCAGTGAATGTGTTAAGATGACAAGTAATCTAGTCGAAATTATTCTGTCGTTAATTATGACCCTTGATGAGGGTATAAAGATATATTGAAACAAATATCTTTTTTATGGTATAACAATATTGGAATATTCTTCAAACATTGTTGTACTTAACAAAAAAATATTTTCAATTATTCAAATATTAATTTTTAGAATCCTGACGCAAGAAAAAAGAAAAATCAAGATCTCTAGTGTTTTTGTATTGAATAATGTTTAGACTCTACATGAAAATGTTATTTCAAAACGAATATTTTAGGAAAACGAAAGACCAGTATTAACAGTACAACTAGAAACAAGATTATGTGAATACTTTGTCATCGTTTTGCTTTCTGTGTTGTTCTCCGTCTTTGAAATAATTAAGTAAATGCAGAAAATATCTATTGTTGTCTAATCATGTAAGCCGTTTTACTGCAGAATTATTAATTTTTACGACCAAAGAGAGGTAACGCGAAAATGGCTTATTTTTTTTTCTTTGACCATGACACGATTTTCAAAAGCGGAAAGTATATCAATAGTTTATATGGGATGTGAATATTTTAATGCAATTTTCAGTGAGTGATAGAAAACAAGTGACGTTTGTTAAAAAGTACCTTAGAGTTAATTATTGTATGAGTCGCTTCTGTTTAAACAGAATTTATTGTTTTTCCGGTGTAGAAAGAAGAAAAAGAGCATACACAAATTATTTATATGCAGCGCGCAAGGCGAACAATTTAAAAAAAGGCGTAAATAATGTTAAATAATATTTCTGTATTCAAATTCTCTTCTGTAGGTTTCATTAAAGTGCATTTCTTGTATGTTACACAGTATTATGGTAGAATATAAGAATAAATACTGCAATAATACATTGTTTCTTTCTTTATAATATTTCATTTTATTTTACTTAAATGTTTTTATATTGTAGTATGTATTGTGTATATTAATATTATATATAATTCTATATTAGCAACATAAGCTAATGTAGAATATTATAATGTTATAAATTTTTTCATAAATATCATATCAAATAATCAAAAATAATCATATCTATATGATATCAAATAATCAAAAAATCGTAAAATTTTTTATTATAATAAGTAAATATCATTTTTTACTACATAAGTAAATATACAAACTATTTTAAAAACAATAACAATCGTTTGCAATTGAAGAAAAACTAATATATAAAGAATTATAAAAAAATTTTTTAATTTCGCGAAAATTCATCATACATGCTGTAAAAGATTAAAATCTGTTCCGTTATTCTTTTCTTTCTATTACAAATATATTTTATTGTAAAATCATAGATAATATTGTAATATTATGATATTAATTTATGAAAATAACAAGATTCCTTATACCTGCTTTTCCATGTTTACCTGTCATAATAACGAGACCATGCATCCATTTTCTATTGCTTTCAAAATTTGTATCCTAAATTATAATTTTGAGATTTCAGAAATCTGAAACATACAAAATACATTCTGAAAACATTTTTTTTCTAAATTGTTCACTTTATTTCTAAATATTTTAAGTAATTTTTTAATGCATTTAAAATTAAAGTTGCATAATTTTGATACTTATTTTATTGTTATTTTCTTATAACAATTTATAATTTCAAAATTATTATTAATTATTAGAAGAAATTATATAAAATAAAAATATAATAGATTAATTATATTTTCAAAGTAATTATTTTCATTTTTTTATAAAATCTGAACTAATTGCTTTTTGTGTAATACATGATATCGAATTTGGGATTGACAGTGCATTTGACGACTCGGACTCTTACCAGATTACTAGCAATACACAATTAAATACGCATTGAAAATAGAGGGAGCTAGTTTTCACCATTTTAAATTCCTATCGATGTTCATGTTGGAATTCCTCTGTCAGTCCGTTCTGAGACTTGATCGGACAAGTATCTGTATGCTTAATAGATGTGGTGCTGTGTATTGTGATTGTGGTGAGAAACATAACCTATAATAACAATAGTATTTTTAAATATTTATAATGTAAATAGAAAGAGAATATATATATATATATATTCTTTAAAAAAAATATAATTTTCTTATTTTTAATTATTAAAATTTTATAAATCAAAATAGAAATATTAGTGAATTAAAAAGTTACGATAATTGAAACAAATATGAGGAGCAGTAAGTAATATTTTTTTAATAAATGCATCTATTAACATTTTATAATGATATAATAAAAATATTTTTATTTAAATATGTGAATTAAATTATATTAACATTTTAGATTCAGATGAAAGTGATTATGAGAATGAAAGTTTTATTAATACAGATCACGATGAAAGTATTGAAGAAAAAAGAACAGATTCATCATTTTTTAGTGATTATTCTACTAATGAAAAACATAAAAAAAAGACAAATCATTTTATTTATACTACTTTATCAGATGAAACTTCAGATTTGAATGACAGCGACTGCAATGAGGATTATTATTCATCTAATGAATATAATAATACAGGTATAAATGTTTGTATAAATGATTCCTCAGATTGTGATGATAAAATAAGAACAAGAAAAAAAAGAAAAAATGAAGATGCTTATCATTATAATAAGAAACAAAAGATACATGAAGATTCAGGTGATGAAGGTAGTAGTCAAAACATTAATAATATTTCTATAAATGATCCATCAAGTAATGATGAAGAAGATATTAGAATAGAGAAAAATATATATGAAGATTCTTATCATTATAATAAGCGACAAAAAATTCATAAAGTAAAAAATAAGATTGAAGATGATATTAGTGATAAAAATAATTTTAATGTAAATGAAGAATTAAATAAACAAGAATCCAAAAATCTTAATACTGACAAAGTTAAACGTATGATGAAAAAAATGGGATATAAGGAAGGATATGGTCTTGGAAAAAATAAGCAAGGTCGTTTAGAACCAGTTGAAGCTTCTAAACAACATGGACGTAGAGGTCTTGGTCATAATATTCCTGGACTTGAAGCTTCAAGTCTTAAATGGGATCCTGCAGAAGAAGAAATAAAATGTAAAGAAGATATGGAATGGATAAAAAATCCAAATAAAAATTTACCTACAAAAGAAGAAATGCATTTTTGGTTACAAATAGGACCTAAGAAAATGACTATAGATGATGAAACTCATTTTTGTCATGAGGATATAGTTAGAAATATAATTAATTCGAAAACAGTATTTGATAATTTAGACGATGTTGAATTTCGTCGCGCAAGAACACGTTCTAATCCTTACGAAACAATTCGTGGTGCATTTTTCTTAAATCGTGCTGCTGTTAAAATGGCTAATATAGATAGAGCATGTAATTTTATGTTTACTGATAGGAAACATTTGGGAAAAAATGAGTTGTTATATTTTGCAGATGTATGTGCTGGACCAGGTGGTTTCAGTGAATATGTTCTTTGGAGAACAAAATGGCATGCTAAAGGATTTGGTTTTACATTGAAAAATGAAAATGATTTTAAATTAGCTGATTTTTATGCTGGTTCTCCTGAAACATTTCATCCATATTATGGACCAAAAGATAATGGTGATGTCTTTGATTCTGAAAATCAAAGAACATTTAGAGAACTTATAATGAAATACACTCATAATAAAGGAGTACATTTTATGATGTCTGATGGTGGTTTCTCTGTTGAGGGAAAAGAAAACCTACAAGAAATTCTTTCAAAACAATTATATCTTTGTCAATGTTTAGTGGCATTAATGATAGTAAGAGAGAAAGGTCATTTTGTTACGAAATTATTTGATATATTTACACCCTTTAGTGCTGGTTTAATCTATTTAATGTATCGATGTTTTGACGAAATTTGTATTTTTAAACCAAACTCTTCTAGACCAGCAAATTCAGAACGTTATTTAATATGTAAAAGTAAACGGCCTGGGACAGAAATTGTTACACAATATTTTAATAAAATTAATCATTTGCTATTAGATAATGATGAAAATAATGATGTTATACAATTAGTGTCATTTGACGAATTAGAAAAAGAAAAACACTTTTTGCAATATTTACGCACTTCTAATGAGTATTTAGGAAAGAAACAAATAATAGGTCTATGCAAAATTGCTGCATTTTGTGAAGATAATACTCTTGTTGAAACAAAACAAGCTGATATGCGTAAAGAATGTTTAGCATATTGGAAACTTCCTGATGAAAGTAGAACAATCCCAAAACATATGAAACCAAAAGATAAATTAAATATTCTTGTTAAAGATTCCACATTTCTTTCTAATTTCGCAACTACATTAAAAGTAGATAACATTAACAATTTATTAAATTCACCATATGATTGGTTTTGCATGCCATGTAGTACTAAATTACAACCTGATGATGAAAGAAAAAATGCTACATTTTATATGAGTATGGGAAGAAGTAATGTTTATCGTTATTTGAAATATGGTTGGGTAGAAGTTAGTGATATTAATATAGAATTACCATCAAATACACTTGTATATGCAGAAGTTGTACATGAAATGAAAAGAGAATTTAGACATCAACAAAAAGTACTTGCATTACATATCATAGATGCATTCATTTTAGGAGGAGAAGATGTTAGTCAAAAATATTTAAGAGAAAGGTAAAAAAATGAAATTTTATAAAAATCAAAATAAAAATTTTTAAAAAATTTTTTAAAAAATTTTTTTTAAAAATTATTATTAATATGTAAAATTAATTTTTTTCTATTTTTTATAGGCATGAACTTACAAAGAAATTTTGTGAAGCTTTGTGGAAACCAGAGGGAAGTAATTATGCTCGAGTACGAGCTAAAGAATTATTCCCGGTAAATTCAGATATATGTGAAAAATTACAAATAAAAGAGCGTAGAATGAAAAATAATTGTCCTGCTTTGGTATATGAACTCCCGGAAACATCTTTACATTATGATCAAAATTGTGATGATAAATTATATTTTATACCAAATAGTATAACATTTTTAAGAAGTACTGTTAATCCATGGAATCGATATGTCAGCAAAACACATCGTACGACTTATGTTTTTAATTATAAAACTAATGAGAATTTATTTGATAAAAATAGACCGCGTTCGGCAGAAGCGAATTTCATAGAATCGTTCAAAAATCGCGTTATTTGGTATTGGCCTAGTGATAAATCACTTACCATGAATATATTTGCGAAATTTATCAAAGATAAATGCAATATAACTTTACAAAATGGTTTAAGTTATTAGTAAAACAAACATAAAATTGATAATAGAAACTCTCAATATGGTATTATTAATTGTACCATTCGAATACTAAATTGATCAACTTGTTTTTTGAAAGTTTTTTAATTTTAGTATAATTTTGAAAAATCATTAATTTTGATCAATTCAGTTTTTATATGGCTCAATTTTTACATAAACAATGTATGTATAATAATAAATATATAAATGTATATATACAAGATGTTTCTTTTAACTGAAAATGTAAAAAAATTTTGTGACAGATTATAGCTATTAAAAGAATGTTTTTTTCATAAATTTATGAATTTTTAATGAGAGATAAGTAAAAGTAAATTGTTAATTAATATCTATTTTTACAATTGAAAAAAAAATTCTTTATGTTTGCAAATAATATATATTATTGTACAATAGTAATTAATAGATGTAATAATCAATTAATGTAATTATATTGTAATTATAATTATATTAAATTATAAATAGTTGCAATTATATTCATACAAAATATTTGTATGCGACGATAATTGAGTGTAATTAATCTTAAAAACAAATATTTAATCGATATAATTTGTTTTTAGTAAGGATAATTAAATATTTATTTGTGGCAACTGCTCCCATAATAGGATAGGTTTCACTATCTAAATCTATAATCCATTGTTTTCCAATTTGAACATTTAATTCAGGCCTTTTATAAAGAAATATATATCTTGTGTGCTCAAGAATAGCTACATATGAACCATCTAAAAATAATTTTAGAATTTATTATGTAAAATATTGTATATAAAATAATTTATAATTTGTCAGATTTGGACAAATTATATTTCAAATAGAATAAAAAATTATGAAATATAATAATATTTTGATTTCAATTTTCTTCAAACAGTAAATAAATAAATAAATATATATGTATAAGGAAAACTTGTATTTTAACTTTAAAAGATAATTTTGAAATAAAAAAAATATAAAATTTTATAGTCAAATAATGAAATAATGAAATAATTCAAAGAAAAAGAAATTTCAAAAAAGAATTACGTTATTATTAATTGCATAATTATTAAAATAATTATTTATCAAATATTTTATTTAAATAATGTCCAAATCTAATATTAATTAGATTAAAACTTTAAATATTTACCAGCAGGAGAAACACAAAATTTTTTATTACTTTTACTTGCTTCAACATAACCAAAACCAGGAAAAGTATAATAATGTTTGATATTCCACTTATTATCATTTACTTGATCAGTAATCCATAAGAAACCATCGTTATTATGTCTTAGACAAATTGCTTGTCCATTTTTTGTTTTATATGTATACAATACATGATTGCTTGTTCCAAGCATAGCTAAATGAGTATTTGTTTGTTCAATAAGATCAACTCTCAATAAAAGATTATCTTTTCCTTCAAGATCACATTCCTCAAGTTGTTCAGCATTAAATCCTAGACAAGGTTGTCCTTGTTTATTATCAATTTGATTTGTACACAAATGTGCTAACCTACATATGAAATAATAAATATTAAAATACAAAAATAATTTAGTGAAATTCTTATTATTTTAAGTAATATACTTAGAATGAATTTCAGTAGCCAAAGTTTCATTAGGTAAACATTCTCCACCAGTATCACCTTTAATTAATTCATTCCACATTAAACCATTTTCATGTTTATATAATTCAAGTTTAAATGTATCTTGTTCATATTTCCATGTCGTTAAATCTTCATCTAATCTGTATTGACATTGTCCTTCTATTAATATATTATTATTTACTATTACTGATAGTTCTAATGATGTTACATTTACTTTAATTTTATCTCGATATTGATTGTCTATTTTAAGCCAAACTGTTATTGAATCTTCATCTTGAGACCAATAATACCTTGGAATTTTTAATTTCTCAGTTTTCTTTGTATCTTTTTCATTATCAGTAGATTTTTTTATCTTTAGGGAATCAAATGTTATATAATCTTGACAAATGGAATGTAAATATTTACCAGAGTTTTCTATATATACATATTCAATAGCACCATTTATTTTTAAAGTGTCTTTGTTTATAAGTTCAAAGAATTGATCTATATTTCCTGCATTTTTCCAAGCATATGTTAATAATAAGAGCCTTGAAAATTTTTTTTCACCTGTACTTCTAATATCACACATGGCAATCATAATAGTATTTGTGGTATCTATATATCTTATATCTAATATTACTCCAGGTTCCGCATTATTTAATGTGAAAGATTTAATATTTTCTTGGGCATTTGCTATTAATAATTTCAAACAATCTCCACCATCAGAAATTACAATAATATTATTATTAGTAAATCCAATTGATGGATTATACAAACGATTTTGCACATTTTTATTTAAATTATTAATTTCATATATTTGTTCTAAATTACCATCCTTTTTAAATCGCCATACAATTCCATTTTCATCTATGTACCAGGATGATGTATCATATGGATTTTTGAATAAATGATTATGAAATGCGAATAATCGAGTTTCTAAGAAGGAATCTCGATTTGTTGTTAATTCTAACCTATATACATCTAAAAACATAATTGGCTTTGTAATTACATTTTATTTTAATAAATGATAATTATTTGTTGAGATAAAAATTTATTTTTTTAATAATGCTTACCTGTTTTTAAACATATTTCAGTATCTATCGAAATTTCATCGCTACAAAATTGGTATTTTTCAAATTTTAAATTTATCAAATTTTTATTAGGACATAATTCAACAATTTTTGTCATTTTTTATGTTTGTATTTTTATTTAAACATTATTATTCAAAAATGAGAAAATATAAGTAATTTATAACATTCATAACCTTAATTCATAACTTATTTTCATTATTTTGAATAATATTTTTTAATATATTGATCGTATTTATTATATTTTTTATTTTATTGACAATAATTTTATTATTATTATATATTTTTTAATTTTTTAATATCAACTATTTTTTTATAACAATGTAGTCAAATCAGTCACTGACTCAATTAGTAATTGAATTGAATTGTGATGCGATCAACGATAACGATACATAATCGATATAACTATAATAATCGATATTTATTTAAAATTGAAAAAGCAATACTATCGAAAATAACAGTTAGTTTTGAGGAAGCAGTGTTGAACGAAAGAGTGTCGAACTTTTAAGTAAAATTTAAAAAGTAAAGTGAAATGTACATTTATCTTATGTGTTTTTAACAATCGTGTAAACAAATCGTGTAACAATGTGAGAAAAAGAAATATATTCTTCTTTGATATTCGAATGTGTACGTATTATGATATAATGTAAATTTGATATTATACATATATGTAAGGAGATGTTTGTAGGAATCGTTATTTAAGAATATGATCATCAGAAATAATTTTATTTCTTTTTTTCCAGTAAATTATTTCAACTTTGCATGAACATCTTCAATCAATGTGTACCATGAAAAATTCACGGAAATATTTCATTGATGGACTTAATCTACATTTGCATAAGTAAGTATTACATATTTTTAAAACAAATTAAAGATTTTTACTTTTGTAGTTAAGAACTATCATAAAATATTTAATGAAGATTCGTTATTGTATATCGTTGTACATTAAAATTTTTTTATTCCGCATTATCTTCAGAGTTGTGATGCGTGCGCACACAACATGGCGCGAAATTAAAAATTTTTTTATAAATTTGGGAAGCATCCATTAATCCAAAGATAATATCGATTCAATAGAATTTCTATTTCTTGATTGATATTTCGCTACATCAAAATAGTTCAATGGATATCCAATAATTCTTCGATCCGGTAAATAGATAGATGGCAGATTGTAAATATAACGCCTTGCAGAATCTAAAAAGTTACATATAGAAATTTTCAAAATAAGTAATATAAATAAAAAATTAATATTAAAACTATTTAATTATAGAGAAATTGAATTATTTAATTTATTTAATGAAATATATTGGAAAAGTTGTTCTAATAAATTTATATAAAAAAAATTTATATATAAAAAAAAAATAAATTTTTTTGATTACTTGGCTACTTTTTGATTTTATATTTTATAATATATTATAATATATATAATATATATTATATTTTATAATATATATAATATATATTATATTTTATATTATAAAATTTTGTAATATATATATTATAAATATATATATTACAAAATATATTATAAATTTTATAATATATATTGAGTTTATAATATTATATAAATTTTTTATATAAAATATTAATTATTTTTTTATCTTACGTTAATAAGTTTATATATTTATTAAAAATAATTTTATACTCGTTATTTTTCTCTATTTTGAAGATTTACTTTTCTAAGGTGATATTTGAACTATATATAATATTCTTTAATTATTATTCGAATTTAGAATGTAAAATAAAAATGGTAATAGTGATAGATTAGATTAGATTATTTAATAACAAAATATATTTTTTCATAAATAATTAAAATGATACTGACCTGAAAATAAATTTTCGATTCTTCTTCGTTGTCCAATACCATTTAGCGTGTTTTCCTAAATAAGATGAAACCTATTTTAAGTAATTTTCAATTTGAAAATGTTAGGTAGTGAAAATATTATTTTGATTTCATTTCAAGGAAAATTTAGGAAAAAGTGAACATTGTTATAGAAATTATAATTAATAATTTTTTAATGTAACATGCATTCATTTAATGCAATATATTCTATTGATTCTTTTTGCATATCTATAATTCATGCAATATTGATTGATGCATTCTTAGTCATTCTATAGTCAAATTTTTTTTAATGTACATTTGATACTATTCCTAGTTAATTTCTTAGTTTTATTATTATCTTAGTATTATCTGTAATTGAAAATGAAAGAATATTTTATTCATGCAACTGAATATTTTGTTCGAATATTTCCATTTTATTAAATTTGATTTATGTTATATCTTTCACTGTTATAGTTGCAACAAATTATATTTTTCACTTTATAAAAGAGATGTAAAAAAATTTTTTTATTTAAAGCTTTACTTTTAATATAGGATAATTATAGATAATTAGTATATATAAAAAACGGAGAGTACAAAAAGGCAATTTTTCTATACTAATCGTATAGAATCATGCAATGATTTTCAATAAAATAATTACTTGAAATATAACAAATTAATAGCACTAATCATTCTTATTCAGTGATAATAATCCTAATGTAATTCGCATTATATAATTCAAAATATTAAAAAAATGTTTTAATATTTTATTATTTTCAAATCTTTATACTTCTTCTTTATTAAAATTATTCGCGTTAATATTTTGCATAATGAATGCAAATTACATTTGCATTATAATCAAAAAGCAAATGACTAATCAGAAGAAGAAAGGATGCAACAAGCTATACGATAATACTGAGTACCTTTAAACTTCGTATTGCGTTTTTGTTTCATCGTATTTCGGATTGTTGTTTAAGGAATCAACACTCTCTTCGACACTTATCCTAGACGAATTTTCTGGCTGAAATTATCATATATTTTCGATTATTGTTCGTTGCATCCCGATCCCTTTTATCTCTCGATTTTTCGTATTTCTCAAATCGATTCTATGAGATGATTTCCTAATCGATTATCGGATGAAATGATTTATAGGGAGAATGTATTTAATGGATTTACGAGGAATGAGATGTTACAACGTTTGAAAAATTGATTTCTTTAAGGATATTTTATTCGTTTGTATAACATAATCAATATTGCATATTTATATTTATATATATATATATATATGTATATAAAAAAAAGTGTAGGGGGACATACATACAAAGCCGACAAAGATAAATGTGTGTGATGATAATGGATGTGAATAACATTGGTGTATTACGACGCAATCAAAATTAATTAATGAATATATCCAACAAAATCCGAACATAGCTTATGATGAAATCGAATCTGTCTTTGAAATAAAAATTTTTCTTTAGCTTAATAAAATTGAATGACAATTTGATTAATTTAAAAATTATAAAGAAAACAGAAAAGAATAATAAAATTTAATTTTCATTTCTTAATTTGATTTATAAGAAGATTTCTAAATCTTTGAATTATTGATTTTGTTGAAATTTTGAATATTGGTATATAGATTTTTAGTCTTTTATTTAGAAAATTATTATTAAGGAATTATAAAATACAAGGGAACCTATTAAAAAATATTAATTTTATAATATTTAATTTTATAATTTATAATATTTTTTTTAAAATAAAAATCATAAATTTATAATATTTTTTTAAAGCTCTATCAATGTTTAGATCTTCAACAAAATCAATAATCTGTATATTTTGTACTTATTATTATACAGATATGATATGAGATCTTTAAAAAATAGATTTGCTATTTCTTTCAATTTTATATCAAATGATTCGTATTTCAAGGACAGATACCTATCTATTCAAGAAATAACTTCTCGATGTTTTTCTTACCGACTTGACAAAGTCATTATCATCAGTATGTTCTGTTTTTTGATGTATCTCCTCCTCGTCTGTATTTTGTTCTTTGGGATCATCTTCATCTTCATCTTCATCTTCTTCATCTGGTTCCTCTTCTTCGCATTCTTCCAGTTCCGGTTCCTCCTGTAGATCTTCCATTGACTGAAAGTAGATCGATTTGAGATGTTGAAATAAAACTTATTTTTCATTGTTTTAATTGTTTTTTTCTAATTCTTTTAAATTTATCTTTCATACATATACATTCGATGTTCACAAAATATATACACAGTGCAGTTATTTTTAGTAGTTATTTTATAGTTATTTTATAATATTTTTATTAATTATTTTTAGTAGTTAAATTCAATTCTGTTTGTTTTATTTTAATTTTTTTTTTTTTTAATCTTAATTTTAATTTCAGGATGTATATTTTGGATACATGGTACAATCCTGCATTTAAGTTTAATTGAGTTTATTTTATCGTATCTTAATTTTTTGGATTTTAATTTCACATATTCGATGTTTAGAAAATATCTATAAGGGTGTATAATTTGAATATAGTACAATCCTATAGATTTTATATGAGAGAATAAAACGAAAATAAACAATTGAGCTCGTTTTATATCTCAATTTTGAGATAATTGAATTTGGAAATCCGTCGTATAGAAATAAAAAATTTTAATTCGCATTCTAATAATCTCATTCATGGTAGTTAATAATGTGAACATCTTGTATATGTACATTTTAAATTAATATTTGAACTTATCAATATTAATCAATATAAACAAAAAAAAAATATTAATTTTTCTTCTTATAAATTATTCTTCATAAAAACATTCCTAACGAAATATCGTAATTGGTTACTACTTTCAATTCATCAATGGATTTTCATTTATTTCAAATGTTTGAATGCGGCTGAAAAGCGAGCCTGCAAAGTAGACGCGATCAAATTATTAAAAACATTCGATCATCGATTCGATCATCGTTCTCTTCCTTAAATTCGTATAATAGATATCATAAATTTGCAAAATCTATTCAGCAGGCTTACTTTAAACTTAATATAGATAATTTTTATAAAAAAAAGAAAAAATCTTTACGAATGGATTCAGTTTCGGAGATTTAGTGATGATGCCTGTATTTACCCCTAGGAGCTCCTTCTTCTCTGGTTCTTCATCTGCTATAAAAAAATTATAATTATTAAATTCGAATCGTCGTTTCACAAACGACATGTCTATATTTGGACTGGACTTTTTTTTTCCACCAAACGATTGATCGATACTTCAAAATGAGCCTACCTATGATATGAACTCTTTTATCGTTAATCAAATCTTTCGACTCCGCGTTGGCCAACGGTTTATACTCCTTGACCGTGGCCTTCATGTGCGTGCCGTTCGGTCTTTTCTCGTCCTCGGCCACGTTCTTGAACCCGACCGTTTTCACGCCACCCGTTAATGGATCCGTGTACTGTTGCGATTGCCATCTTTGGGAGCCGGGCGCGGGAACCGTGGAGGCGACGGATGCGCGTCTTCGACGCCTATCTTTCCTCGCGCTCCGCCACACCTCGTAGATGCAACCGATCACCGCTGTCACGAATACGCAACACAACGCGATGAAGATGTAAGTACCAGCACCTTGCTCCTCCTGGGTCGCGTTCGTGTATTGCGATTTGTACGATATCCTCTTCGGGGGGTCCTCCACCCACACTTTGTCCACACCCTTCGACATAAAGTTTTCGCCCCTTACATATTTTTTGTTTTTCCTAACCTTAAAATTTTTCGGACAAACTTTCCTCCTTTCATTCAATTCTTGTTCTTTCTTTGAAAGTTTGGTCGCTTTGGCCACGGTGTGATATATTATTTGCATCATTTATCAATCTATCACACGTGTTATAGGAATATATCAATTAAATTTTGTTTCTTACTTTGTGCCTTATAATCTTAAGATTCTTCATAAAAATCTAATGTTTCACAAGCTCTGATATGTGAGAATAATTTACCTTTAATTTCGTACAAAGATCGAACATTTTTCTGTACATCTTTCTTTCTTTAAGAATCGTAACATATCTAAGTTAGAGGATTTAAATGTTGTAATCTCGCACAAAGATTGTCATTTCTTCATAAAAATCCAACGGTATCAAGAAGGTAGGAAGAGAATTATCTCAATGATAAATCGATCGAAAGCTGGAATCCCAGGAAAAAATTCCGCGAGTAACGAAAAGATTGCTTACCACGTTGCTATCGTTCTTGGGTGGGTCAAGGCCGTGCGGTTGGACGTGGAAAACAGCGCACTGCGCGCTCCTGACGCCGGCAGGCATCGTCGCCCTCACGGTTTCGCTTCCCTGTTTCGTAAATAGCATATATTCCTCGAGCGGCTTCATGTCGGGTCCACCGTTGATCGATACCACGACGTCTACAAGAAGAGGGTATCCGTCATTTCGTAATCGGAATGTGGCTGACGATCGTTTTGTCTAACATAAGAAACACATAGTATTCTATTAGAATCACGTCTCGATCCTCTCTCGCTGTCGACGAATTCTTTTCTCTCTTTTTCTCTCTCTTATTTCTCAATTTCGACAGATCGATTGTTTCAAAATCGGATGATTTTTAACGTTGGAACTCACTGCTCAGACAACCGGTGTATCCCTTGTACGCGCTGAATCGCGAGTCTGTCGTGTTCAGACCGCCAAGTTGGATCTCGGTCACCCCTGGACTCTCGTCCTCTCCGAGAGTCAACGCTGGGATCGGTAACAGTGTCACTGGTTCGCGATCGATCTATATAATTGCGGAGGAATGGTCATTGCAGGTCATCCTCGAATGTCTCGAATTAGGAAAATCTCGTTTATCATTTGCCGTACCAGAAACGTGACAGTGCTATTGTCTCGAACGTAGTAAATACTGTGCCTGGCCCCGTTCAGAAAATTTATATCGTTTAAACGCACTCCAAACGCGGATCCTTCTCTGTCCTCCTCAAAAATCAATTGACCCTCTGACGTTAAAGCAACGAGCAAGTAGTAGCTTCTTCTGAAAGGGAAAAAAAAAAAAAAAAAATGCTTTTGAAAAGAGGATTTTGAAAAGAGGAGAAGTAATTTAAAAAGAGGAGTAAGAAATTTTGTAAATGGATCGAGCGAAGAATTTTCCACACAGAAAGAGAGAACTTACTTATTTTCCGTCTGTAAAAGCAAAAGCGCTGTGGTACGTTGTCGTAGTTCGTTGGTCGAAAATGCGAGTTGAACTTTCACTTGGTTCACTTTTCCAACGAGATCGAACTCCCGTTGAACCACGCTCTCGCCACTGAAGTCTGCCCCTTTTTCTAACAGAAAATAGAAATTCTTTGGTATCGTATCTGAGAAATCTAGAATCGTCGCGAACTTGGGGAGAAATTTAATGATAATATTTGTGTTTATGTTTTAAATAATATTTAGCATTCTGAGAAATTTCTGAATTGTTTAAAAATCATATAATGTGGAAAAAGAGTTTAATAAAAATCAAAGCAATAAGCATACCGAGTATCTGTTACTGAATCTTTGTGAGTCACAAAGAGCAGGTAAAAATTCGAAGAGTAAATAAAATGGTTAAAATGCATATCGTTTAAAGATTATTAAACAATGATGCAGGTATTTCTCAAAAATAATAAAATAATAAAATTTCTGAATTGTTCCAAGATCGTATAATTTAGAACATGATTTATTTTCAAAATATTTAATAATACCGGTATTTATTATTGAGGCCAGGTAAAGAATAGATAAAATTAAATCTATTAATGACCTTAAGAGTTTCCAAACTCTATTTCTCAACAATTTTCGGTAATGCCCCTATAAATAACCATCAATTTCAACGTATTACACATATTAACATAAAAATAATAATAGAAAAATAGTTTCTATTAAATTTCTAAAAATCAAAATGCATTTTGTTTTCAATTTATAACATATAACATTATTACAATATTTACTGAAATTTATTTTTAGTAATTTTTTTTTTAAAAATGCAATAAAATAATCTTTGATTAGATAGATTATTTAAATTTAATGCCCTTTTGAAAAAAACACAAATCGTTAATGCAATTTATTATTTATTAATACTCAAATCGAAAATATCTCACCATCGGCGCAATGCTCCCCGAAATACGACGTTAACTCGCAATTGCACAATGACTCCTGCCTCTCAAAATCTTCGGTGCAGATCCCCAAATTCTTGCAAGGCATTGCATCGCATTTCGTTTGACAATTAGGAAGTATTTCTTTGCTACCCTCGTGATTAGCCTCGTTGGCAAGCTTAGACAAATTGACCACGTATTCTCCGATCATTAATCCACCAAGACAGCCGACGTACCCCTTAATTTGCATGTCCTCTTTGCCCACTCTCAGCAAGTCATCCGGATCGAAACCCCCTAGATTCACCTATATAAGATTGCTGATCATTGCTGATCATTCGATTCGATTCGAAACCCCTGATATCTCACCTGGAAATAGCTGGTGGGCGATGCCGGCGGCCTCTGGGGAGCTAACACCTCTTTTTCCGGATTTATCCAAGGTTTGTTCGAATACGTGTCCAGTAACACGGGCGTGGCGTTCAACGTAGAATTGTATTCGTTCACGTGAAGCGTCGTTGATCTCTCGTTTCGAATAATCGCGATCTGGATCGAGATCCCCGTGTTCACTGAAAATTTTCAGAAAAAAATTTGCGAATCGAACGACGAAGAAATTATATATATTTGAGATCGAATTATGAATGCAATTCCATTGAATTTTCTTGGATATTTCAATATTTTAATCGAATTGAAAATTACCCGGATATTCCACAGTGATATTCTTTATTTCGTTACCAGCGTTGAACAGATATACTATACTGGTGCCATTCGAAATGTAAAGATGGGCAAAGTTGTTCAAATTATCGTTCGCGTACAAGATGGACGAATAAGTGTCGTATGTTCTCAGATTGATTAGAATATTTTCCATCAGTATATTCTTCAACAGCGACTTCTCTTCGTCTTTTTCATCCGTGCCAAAGTAGTTCTTCTTCAGGAAAGCACTTTGCGAGGTAAATGTCAACGCCTCGTTGTTTATATCTAAAGACAGAATTTAATGGACGAAAGGAATTATTTCGATCATCGAACGTGAAATTTATAAAGAGATTAGTTGAAATTAATAATAGTTGAGATTAATAGTTGAAATTGGAATTGGCAGAAGCTTACTTACTCTTCTCGCAATAGTCGCCAAAATGGGCCCATTTGTTCTCACAGACGCATTCGTAGTTGCTCCACAATTCTACGCACCTTGCACCGTTCTGGCATTTGTTCGGTTGACAGAATGGTTTGCAATCTTTGATGATCTCGGACAAATGAACAGACATGTAACTGTGAATGTCCAGGATCTCTCCGTTCACGACCAAACCTCGAAAACAGCCTATGAGTCCTTGCTGAACTGAAGAAGTCCTCAAATGTTCCCTGAGAGATAAAATCGTGATGTGTGTGATGATCTATGTAATAAGCTTTTACATATTTTCTTTCTTTCTTTTCTTTTATTTTCCGTAATGGGAACTTAAAAATTTTTTACAATGATTTATACGTTATTTCCTATTCTGAAAATATCTTGTGTCGTTGCTAAAATTTATTTTGCAATTTTATATAGTTCTTAATATTTTGTTCATTTGATAAATATTTCTTGTTTAAAATTTTTCCCGAATAAAAAATTTTTTTATTTTATATTTTTTTTTTAAAACGATTACATTTTTACTTCGATTGATTTTTCAAGATAATAACGGCAGATAAAATCAATATTCAATATTGATGAATAAGAAAAGAATGTATTACACCTAATTAAAACCATTTAAATTATACTTATACAATCTTTGAGAATTACTCACGCAGTAGCTCCACCGATAAACATAGAACCCTCGAAAGGTCCAAATTTGTCTTCGAGATCGAGCATTTGGGAATCGGTGTTGATCATTAATCTGACGTGATAATTGTTGTAATCGATCCAAATCTTCTGCCATTCCCCATTGTTCAATTTTCTTTTACTCTCCACCTCTATACCCTTTATAACACCCGTACTCAGGGTGAAATTAAACGTCAATCGATACTCTGATGTCAAAGCAACCATGAAAGATGGATAATTGTTTCTGATGGGTGGTTGATACAAAAGGATAGCTTTCTCTCCAGTTGTTCGAAAACTGAATGCTATATCCCCTTTTCTCCAACCTGGTACTTCGATGTATGATTGCGAAGTGGTGAATGTTACAACGTACTTTTGTGTATCTGTATAAATTAACAAAAATCAACAACGTCAATGTAAATCATTCATTTCAACATGAGAATTTTAATATCGAATTTTCTTCGTTGGAATTTAAATATTTTTTAACTAAGTTGAAAGATGTTGAAAAGAAAGTTATGTGAAAATAATATTTGCAAGGAATTTTATTTTTTACAAACAATGTTAGATATTTGTATAAAATATTTAAATCAAATTAAATGATATTTATATAAATAATATTATTAGGTAAAAATATTATTTACTCGTTTCGACACATTCCAATGGACCTAAGGTGATTCGCCCTTGCGCATCTTCCTCGAGATCCCTTTGCTGCAAGAACACCATTCCTGTGATACCCAAAGAATCCGGTGTTTCGTAATATCCTTCGTCGGAAAGCCATTTATCCCCGTTTCCGGTGAAATCGCAATTGCAGCTTAAATTTGGATTAATGCATGTCTTGTTCACTAAACACAAACAGATTGTCAATTCCTTGAATAATTTAATTATTCTAGTATAATCAAAATTTTCTGATTTTACGAATCAATTTGGTATTGATCAACTGAAAATTTTATTAATCATTATATTTTCCAAATTCATCACTCCTTTAAATGTTAAACACACACACACTCTCTTTAATTTATGAAATTTTTTAAATATTATTTTGCCAAATTTATATTTTAGAAGTTATTAAAATCGTAATACTTTACACGGATATTTTAATCGTCTCTCGAATAGAAGAAAAAATTATTTCAATCTGCCAGAATGATTTTTAACTTTTTTAAGTAAACCTCGATTTTACTCACTTCCACAAGGACAAGATCCTCTGTTCACATTTCCAATGTAATCCACGGTGGTTCCCTTCGAGTTAAGGAACCACGTGGCACTGTGCAATTCCAATGGTGCCTTATAGCAATCGTATTTGACGTACTGACTGCAATACAACGAGTGTGAGATCAATTCTTGAAGCATCTCAGCGGTGAATTGCCTGTACTTGATGTTGAACGAGAAATCAGATTCTGTAATTGATCTGACATCGACTTGCGAGGGCAAATTATGCTCCACGATAGTCTTCGTCGAGTTTTCGATAGATTGGAACTCGCATTTGACCAGGGCAGGAGGAAATCTACCATTTCCGTCGATGTCGATTTTGTACACATCGTCCTGGGTGTATCCCAGCAATGCTAATTCCTCGCAGGTTTTTCTGAATTTAGCTGAAATTTTTTTAATTTTTCTTTTTTCTTTTTTAGAATTTAACCATTTCCATTTATTCTGATTTTTCAATTCTTTTCAATCTTCCCCCCCAATCCTTCAAATTCTTTTCCCAGAATTTACGTAATAATAACAACATTTCTGAACGACAAATATCAAATTTCAACTCACTGAAATGACAATTTTTCCCGACGTAACCCGTGTCGGTGCAATCGCAGCTGATTTCGTCCTTTTTCACCGAGCATTTACCCCCATGCTCGCAAGTGTTCGGCCTGGTACAAGGATCGATGAATTGGCAATTGTCCAACGCTACTTCTCCCATAACTCTGTCAGTGTTCATCACGTATCTAGGCTCTATTCTCTCGTCGTTCACCCGTATCTCGCGCATACATCCTACCAAACCTGATATCCAAAACCAAATATATATTATTGTTACAACACACCACGCGAGAAACTTACCCGTGTTGTTCTTCCCACTTCCTATGATAACTTTGTCGCCCAGCTCGAACGTCATCGAGAATAATTTGCTCTGCTTGTTCCGATAATCCACCAGAACGCTGATCTCCCCTTTCGTGTAATTTAACTCGACCGCGTGCCAAGACGTGTTGTAAGGTGGAAACTTCACCGCAGTTGTGATCGTGACGTTTTCGCCCAACACCGGGATCAGTTGAAAACGGATTTCGTCGTTCACCAGTTGGAGCTGTGCGTTAAACAATTTTTAAATTTAAAAAATGTAAATTGGAACAATTAGATTTGAAAGATGTTCAAATCTTTGAATGTAAATTTGTAAATAAATTTGAAGAATCGGATCTTTTATGTGTACAATTAATATAATAAGTTTATACAATTTTACAATTTTTCATATTTTTACCGATACGTTGTCCCAATTTATTAGAATTTCGTTAATTCTTCAATCATAATCGTATCGAGAAATTATTAAAGAATAGAAATCTTCATCTTCAATTCTTGTCACAAATTATTACTCGTTTACGATATATTTTCATTACAATTCACAAATATTTATGAATCATTTGTTTTTTCAAAGATGAAACACACAGTTTCGATCGATAATTTCAATCAATTCAAAAATGACTACGAATTCCAACGAACGAAAATATATCGATTTACTCTATCAGATTTATTCAAATTTATATAAATTTACTGTCGACGATCGCATTCACCGCTATTTTCATCCCGGTTTTCAAGCAGCCGATATTTCCTCAAACGTACCTCCCAGTATCCGAGGCTACGATTACATTTCACGTCCCCAGACGCGACCACAGCCACCGGTTTCGAACTCTTGAAGTCGAAGTTCAATTTAAGGGAGTCGGTCCGTGCTATTGGCCACCAAATGTGGCTGGTCGCGAACGGATATGTTATTGGAATCACATCAACATCCGCCTCGTAGTATTCGGGCTCGAGCACACCGATATAATGCACCATGGGGTTGGAACGTTTCAACTCATAAATAATGGACTTGTCGTTGAAGAAAACGTATTTCAGCGAGCCTGAAACCGATTCAATTGATCTCCATCAATCTTAAAAATCGTATTTTTAAGGGGTAAACATTTAAATGTATAGATTCACGTTTCCTTTAGAAATTCTTTAGGAAATTCTTAGCTTAGTTAGATTTTAAGTCGATGATGCATCTATCATTTTTTGTTACTCTTTTCGTATTAAAAACTCTTTATTATTATTCAGCGATAAAAGTATGCAATCTGATTTAAAGAAACGGATCATTACGATTCTTATCTCATTCGAATATATGGAAGGATCGAATTTTAATTAATTATTTATCGCGAAGGAAGAAAATCTACGATTTATTACTCGATTCAACGTTCTCACCTGCGAAATTATTGTGCGACAAAAGTCCCTTCTTCTTGTGCAATTCCGGACCACCGCCTATATAGATCTCAGGATCGATGATCATATTATAATTTTCACCGGGAATTTCGAGTACTTTAATCTCGTCGTCCAAGCTGACGAACACCAACGACCCGTTGTGGAATATCGTCAGATTGTTCCAATGGTTCGATGTGATGTAATCGCCGAGTACAGTGGCGATCTTCGAGTTGTGGCCGAAATCCAACTCGATGTGCACCGATCCGTTCACTATGGAGGCCGCTACGTAGTGCGGCGTACCGTCGATTTCCCCGGAAGCGTAAAACAAAGCCGAGTCGTCCCATTTCGTCTTTCCAACGATCGAATAAAAATATAATTTCGTCACGAACGAAAATATGATTTGTAATCGATTTATGAAATACCTTGAATGCAAGGCTTATCCTGTTGACGGACGAGTGAACTCTGTCCTTCCAATCGTAAACGCGGAAAGATACGTACGAGGAACCTCTTAATGTTAAGATCGTGGCCGCTGGAATTCATTCGAACGTTTATTTTTCATTAATATTATGTAGGACGTTTCGAAAGGATGTTGGACGTGAGTTTCCTGGTATCAAAATATATAAGAAATTCCATATGGATATAATTTCGAATTATTATAGATACATCGAATCTGAGAAAGTAATCTTAATCATTATTTTTAAAATAGTTAAACTTTTTTTTTGAAATTCACATCCAAATTTTCTTTCAAATCCAATCGTCCACAGTCCCAATTAATTTTTATCGCGATTATTCATACGGAATAAAACCGTATGTCCTTTTTGTAGCAGAAAAATATTGTTGTATTGAAATGATTATACGTACTATATACATCGCATCGTTCTCCTTCATACTTTGTTCCAAAGCAATCGCAAGTTAAACTATTATAATGATTCACGCATTGACTCGAGATGAAACAGAGATTTTCTCGTGTTCTACATCTGAAATTTGTTCATGGTATGTGAATTACGATCAATGAAAACGAATATTATAAAATAACTTAACGTTCTTCAAGGGAATTATTAAAAATTAAAATCACTCACTTGTCTATGCAACCCTCTCTCACGTTTTCGTGTTTTGTGGCAATCAGAGGTTGAATGGGCAACAAATCGCTGGCCGATTTGCCCGAGCTGAGAACCATATCTCTTATGCAGCCAACGAATGATTCTATTATGTATTTCACGCCGTGCAATCGTTCCTCGGAACTTAACCCTAACGAAAAATCACGATTAAATAATAAGGAAAATAATTCCATCATTTTATCTTCGATATCAATAATATATACCCAATCCTTCATCAACCAAATCCTTATTATATTCCTATTTATATATTTGCATTTATTGTACAATCATTAACGTAATATCTTTGCATAAATAATGAATTTATAAGTTGATTGATATTTTGAAAATTGATCATTTTCAAAAAAATATATTCGATAATGTATTAATTCGTAGAAAATTTCAAGGATTTTAATATTCGTAGGAAAGAGAGGCATTATTCCTTTTGAGTTTTAAAGTTTCTATATCTTTCCATTAAAAAACTTGAAGTCGAAAATTGTATTTATTATATATTACCACCAATAAGGACAACAGAGGCCAGTTCCTCTGACACTCCATAATTGATCACGTGTTCCAAGACTTCAAGCGTGGTTTCCTCTTGTTTATCGTCCACCCTGGCGATCAATTTCGCCCCGTGGACGTCGATCCTCACCAAAACGCTGTGCCATTCATCCCTGTTCAACCCTTCGCCGACCGTCAGGCTGGTTGATCGTTTCCCGAACACGTGGACCACTTTCAGCTGGCCTTTCTCCACGATCACGTACAGAGCATACGGGTCTAAGCGGATCTCTGGCCGATCCTTCACGCTGTGATACACCAGCAAACCGTGGGGTAATTTCGTGCGAAATTTGAACGATATCTCGCGACACAGTCTGCAAATTGAAATCGTTTATTATAACATGATTTTTTTTAAATTGTTATGAAGTTTGAAAGAATGGATTTGGATTTAATTTAGATATTTAGAATTCTTGTTATTTGGAGGGAGAGGAATTTGGTTTTAGATTTAATTTAATGATATATCTGGGATTTTTATTATTTAGGGAAGAAAAATTATTTGAAAGTTAATAAGATTTTTATGAGTAAAGAATGCTAATGATTATTATTGATTAAATAGTAAAATAATTGATCTTATGCTTCTATAAAATATAATAAATAAATATGTGCTAAAAATAATAGTAATAATTCTATAGAAAATATCTGTTTTAGGAAATTGGAACCATTAATCTATTCTTTTTTATTCTTGGAACGTTTAAAAAGTTAGACTATTCTTTATGTGCAATTTGAAAAATCTTCTATTCCAATTATATTATTATCATTCTTTTATCCCTTTTCACTCGTGAAATTTGATATTTTCTCTTTCTTCTTTTTGATTTCAAATTTTATCCTTGTTTTAACGACGATCGAATTTTGAATACGTTCATTTTCAATGTTGAAACGAAAAAGAACATTACTTGTAAACGTAATTTCATTCATCTTTTCCTGACAGATTGATATTTCGTTCTCTCGTTTTAAAATAATCCTTTCGAGCAAAGTCAAGATTACTCACCGAAGTTGAAACGGTTTTATACCGCTACCGTCGAGTTGAATAAACGTGTTGCTTTGGGCGAACATAAAAGTTTTCTCGTAGCCAGATTCCATGAAGGTGAGTTCCTGTCGATCAATTTTTCTGGGGTGAATTCTCGTTGAAAATCTTTCGTATCGTAAATTTTTCTCATTCGTTCGACATTTGAAATACGTTAAATTAGATCTTATCTTTTTTTTTTTTTTTTTAGAGGAAAGAAATTTATAGAAATAAATTTACCTTTCCTCGTTTGTACTTTGGTACAGGCGGTTTCGTCGGTTCTGGTGGCGAAAACGTTGGTCGTGAAGTGATGGCGGTGGTAGAAGGCAGTGTGTTCGTGGTTGCTGTGCTCGTTACAAATACGTTCCCCTTCGTGACCAAATAAGGCAGTGTGTCTAAGAAAATCCAAAACAAGAACGAGATTCAATAAAAAAAAAATATATATATATATATATATATATATATATATAAATCTTATTAGAATCTTACTTTTTTTTTCTTTACTAAATTTTTATCTTATCTTTACAAAGAAACGATATTTTCACAAAGATCTTTTAAAAATCTAATAGAGATATCTTGTTGTCGTTCAATGAAAATCAAATAAGAAATATCTATCATCTAATATCTCGATTTTCTACCTCATTTTCTCGAGATATCTCTTCATATGTTAATTAGATAATGAAAATTGAACGAGTGGCAAAATTTATTCGATTCTCCTTACGTTCAGGACCACCCACGCAATAATACAGACACTCGGCTTCCGAGTTGAAACGATTCTCGTTCCCTAAGCAGCCACCGTAAGAGAAAGTCTTGCATTTCCCTTCAGTCTTGATGAACGTCCACCTCGAGACGTACTGTTTGCAAGGACCTGGCTCGGTCTTCACCAGACACCTGTCAAGAAACGTCCTCTTCGTGGTTGTGAACGAGTCCATCTCGTTCGATTGATCGATCTCCGATGAATCTGTTAGGTTGATCGAAGCGATCGCGGCGTGAACGTTTGCCAAAACGAGGATCCTCAAGATCCATCTTTTCTGGTCGATCATCGTTGTTTCCTTGCTGAAAAATGAACCAACGTTGTTTCCTCTGATGTTTCGTCAAATTTTCTTCAAATTTTCTCGGCTACTATTCTCGGAGATTTTTTTTCTTTTTTCTTTCTTTCTTTTTTTAAAATAAAGAGAACGTGGCGTTATTTTCATTCATCGTATCGTAAGATAAATTGGCAATTATTCGAAAGATGTAAAAAAATAAAGAGATAAACATCGATAGAGAATATATAGAGATATAGCATAGACAAGTTTTTAACAATTTTTTCACAATTTTTAACAAACAACTTGAGATAATTCTCAAATATCCCAAGAAAGATTGGTTTAAACCGGCAAGAGTAGTTCCACAAACTTCATAGCGTTAAATGTTATTAAATACTTAATACTTTGCAATTGTTTAAATCTATCAAACTTTGATTCTCAAAAGTTCTCAAAGATGAAAGGTTAATCGTCCTTTCCAACTTCCGTCCTTCCGAATTCCTTGTAATTTCATCACTCTTATCAAAGGGTTAATTACACCAGTTTTGCTGCCAAACAGGGAGAATAAGAGATATCTTTTGAAAGAAATTCCAAGTCTCGTTCTCTACTTGAAAAGAATCTCAAATCTTCGCAAACTGCACTTCTATTCACACTTGATGCACCAAAAAAAAAAAAAAAAAAAAAAAAAAAAAAAGGTCTAATAACTTTTAAATCACGTTCACTTTCTTGATAATCCCCTCTCCGCATCGTTATCCATTCACTATTAATATTCACCTTCGATATCTAAATCACACCTCCTTCTTCGATCACAAACAATCACTCTCGAATTTTTATATCAACATCCATCTCCTCGTCCTTCGCCACGAATTTCAATCCGTCAAGTTTTCCATGGAGCTTGATATATTCAACCCGCGAAAGGGGGAGGGGGAAAAAAAAAATAGGTTGAAGCAAAGGTTGCTGGCGAGTCGCCGCTGCTAAATCACGTGCCAGACGACTGTCTGTGACAGTTTTCTGCGTCCAAACATTGAGGACGCACGAACCTTCTGCGTACCTTGATGTGCCGTGGTCCAAACGAGATCGCGACTAGCCAGAGGACAGGATGTGACGTCAGAAGGCCCCCGGCAAGCACGACGGCGGCTGCGAGTCAATTGTCTTCTTTCGCACTGACACACCGATAATCCGATCCCACACGGACGACACGCGTGTGCACACGGATCGTCATCACGCTTCGGCCACGATAAACGTCTCCTCCTCTCCTTCGTCGCCGATGCCGCACACTCGATCACCACCTCGCCACCTTCTTCTCTCCCTCTCCCTCGCGCGGCCACTTTCTTCGTGGCCATCGTGAATCCCTGCCTCATCGTGATGATGATCCCGCTTCGTGGGATCGAGAAAGCATTTCCATTCCGAAAATTCGTTCCAAAGATTTTTTTCTTCGTGGGTTAATGTTGAAAAGTTGATGATTAAATTGGTCGGAATTTTTTTGGAATTCGGAGTTCAAGAATTCTTATGCATTTGAAAATGCATAGTTAGTTCTATTTAACGAAGCTAAAGCTTCTGGAATTTTGGATTTTGGATTCGAATTCGAGGAAATCTTAATATCGTGTAGAATTTTTTCTTTTTTTCTGTTTGTGTGAGATTGAAAATTGAAACGACGACTCGACAGAAGATCCAAACAATTGGGTTTTTATTTTTTATTTTCATTGCATTTGTTGGTCATCTTGATAATTGAATGTATATTGAAGGCAATAGTTTTATATATTCATTGTTTTATTCCAGTTCAATAGTTTATAGTATAAACTTTATACCAATTTTTAGTTTCTCTTATTTATATTCGTAAAATATACCGACAAAGTTTGATCAAAATTAACTGGGTCATTCTGTTACCATGTTACAATAATATATTAAATAGAATAATTGAACTACTGCAATTGTGTATATACTACTGGTGAATTTTTTTACAATATACTATTTTGTTATGTAACATTCATAACATTCAGGTGGTTATGGAACATTGGTTATGAAACAGCTCCAACTCGAGTCGAGATTGTGGAGCCGTAATCGAATTAAATTTGGGATGCTCGAACGAATTGAGATTGATCAAACATTAAAATTGAATAAAGAGCTGTCTAACGTAATAAGTCATAATAAATTTCTCATGTATCGATATTAATTCTCTCACTCAATTCTTTCTCAATTTATCTTCGAATCTTTATGCTATCTTTTTGGTTCCAGAGAAAAGTATAATAATGCAATAATCATGTTCCACGCGTTGAACACGAATAATCAAGGTTTACAGTGTAAAAATTTTCTTTTTCCAACATTTCCAACTTTTCCATTTTCCAATCTTTCACAAAATATTTTAAAAATTAATATATATTTGAATCTTTTATATAAAACATAATTCATTGTGAAATCGAACCTTGAAAGGATTAAGCAGCTCGAAAACTCTCAAAGAAAAGAATCGAATATCCACTTTCCATCTTCGTCTCCATCACTGTCTCTTGTCCATCGATTTTCCTATTCTTTCTTTATCCGTTATTCCACCATCTCCTGTTACTGCTGCTGCTGCTGCTGCTTGTAGCAACTAGACACTAATTTATTAATACCACTCCGACTGTTACTCTCTCTTACTCATCACGGTTTATTGACTTTCATTGCGATCCCGTCACCACCGACACGTTTTCGCATAACCCCTTTATCTCTTTAACCCCTAACTACCTCGTACCTTCGAAATGATTCGTCGATTCGTGGAAAGCGGAGAAATTGATCTCAACCTTACTTAAAACGAGAAATTTAAATATCAAAAATTTTTGTCAATTTTAATTTATATTCCAGTACGAAAGAAACTTGTTATAATGATGAATTTTTTTGAGATTTATTTGATATTTTAAATTTGAGATGTTTTATTTCTTCAACAATTCAACGAACGAATCAAAGGAAAATCAAACGATTCTTGTTGTCCGAATTCGAAATTAAAATGTTTCACGTTTTTGTCGAAATAAGGGCAGACGTTTCTTATTTTGAAGTGGCAAGGTAGTAAGCTCTTCACGGGCACTCCTCCTGTTGTCCCTAGAAAATCGATATATCGAGCAAAACTGGCGAGTGGGTCATTGTAGTGGGCGGGTTTTAAAGCGAAAGCTCGGTGGAAAAGAAGAAAATTGCTGCTCTCCATTTACGTAATGAGCAATCAAATTTCGAGTTTTTTTCTTCTCTCTCTCTCTCTCTCTCTCTCTCTATCCGAATCCTCGATTAATTAATAGGAAAGTAATTAAGAGTTAACCTTCGATCTCGGGTAAGAAAATTATATTTTCGATGTGGTTAAATGAAAACTCGATTTATTAAATCTTAATAATTACTCGTTATTTTTTGTTAAATTGAGATGACATTGAGAGACTAAAAAACTTATTTCGAAACAAAGTAAAGAGAATGAAAGAGAAAGAGTTTCAATTTGTAACTATGTCATTCCACTTCTCTGATCTACTTCTCTGTGCTAAGTTAAAAATTATTAAAAGCAAATCGATATATCTTAGCTCTTACAAATAGCGATATGATTATTTTTATCCCTCCTCTGATATATCGTATTAGGTCACATGAAACAATCTGTATTATTGTACATTTTTAATTATGTTACTTAATTTTAATTCTCTTTTATTCCATTCCATTTTCTTCTGTCAAACGAAATTCACAAAGTGGAAAAGTTTATAGAAAACAAATAATAAAATAAAATTCAATGTTTAGAATATATTTGTAATTTTATAGTAAGTAAGATAGAAGCTCAAGTATAACAAGTGAAACGAGTATTGAGAAATTTTTATCATCTAATCACAAAGAACAAACAGAATTCTCAAACTCTTAATATGAATTTCAATATAAATATCAATTCTTTTTAACTCGAATTATTCTATCAAACAAGCATCCTCTTTATATATAATTAACTAAGATTCAAAATGATAAAACTTTGTTACAAAAAAAAAAAAAAAACAAAAACAAATTTCAAAATTTATACTTGATGCATTTGTGCCTTTAATTTCTTAAATTTAAACGAAAAATTAATTTCTTTCTTAAACTTTAAAAATAAGTAGAGGAATAAAAAAAAAAATAGATGGATTCAATGAACAATTGTGTAAAGTTTCATTAAAATCGGCGCGTATCAGTCGCCGATGCTCCCTCCTAAGATCGGTTAATGTATCCGGGTCACGGATCTGTGGCCACTATATTCGAATACAGTCTCGATTCCACGAATGAAAAGCAATCCATTACTCATAATCCATCTCCACGCCTGGGACCGATTTTATTTAAGACGAGGGGCTCCGTTGCATGACCGGAAATCACGTAGGGCGCTACATCGATCTTATCCTTTGAAGGGAGACGATTCAATTTACATAAAGGAAGTTTATCTCGTAGGTGCCGAGCGTTGCCCGTGCATATCAATGAAAAAGGATGAATTAGCCAGAATCCAACGGTGAATCAATTCGATCCGAACTATTGTTGGATGCAAACTATACAAATTATTCCTTATATTTTTCACAAAAGGAATATTTTATAAGGAAAATTTTTACAATTATTGATACATTAATTTCTACATTTGTGCATCATAGAGAATTTAAAATGCAAATTGTTGGAATGCAATAAATCTGTTTAGGTAGTATTACACGTAGAATAATTTTTATGCTACTTATTATTAGAGCATACATTTATACAAAATTTAATATGTACAAAAGAAAGTTATTCATTTTGACAAATGAAGTAAAATTTTTATCCAATCTCTTCCTTCGATGATATTTATCAAAATATTAATTTGCGTATGTTAAACATATGTTAATTATTATGGCCGCGTCTTTAAACAGGTGATCCAACAGGTTGACAGAAGAAAACCGATAATTTTAGTTGTATGAATAAGAAATTATCGTGATTGTGATAATTAATTGTTTACATTAGTTTTTTGAATCTTTGAACGAATGATCAAAATTGCTTTTCCTTCAAAGAAATTTATTTATTTGTTTTTATAGTTTGTGTTTTTATAGTTGTGCCTTAGCCACAGATTCTTTTTCAGAAACGGACTGCTCTATTAACTGAATTAAATCTTTAAAGACGATCTTCTAATTGGTGTGATTAATAATCGCCCGTGTACAGAGTAGCACGAGTCCCGCGTACGTCATGCTTCAAAAATGTTCCTCTTCTTTGTTTTTCTATTTTTTATTTTTTTTTTTTTTCCACCTTCAAGAACAGAAGAGTCTAAAATCCTTTTGGATTTTTATTTTATTTCTTTATTTTTTGTTCAGAAGAATTAAATGGAGATTAAAATTAAATTTTTGTAGAATTTTATTTAATTTTCTTTTAAGTTATTAGGATAGTATACTTTGAATTTTAGTTTCGTTTCTTCTGTACGTTTCACATCTGAAGAAAAAAGATTAAAAACATTATAATTGAAAAGAAATATAGAATGAGAGTTAATCGTATGTTTTTCGATTTATATCAATAAGAAATTTAATATTATTAAAATTAAATTCCATTGAATATGGGATGAATATCGTTTTTTTAATAAAACAGTATTTCACATTTTGGAAAAAAAAGTGTCAAAAATGTGGAGAACAAAAATATTTGTCTCGTTGAATTTTGAATAAAAATTTACACATTTTTTTCCACACCTCATCACATGAGAACTTAGCCAATTCCAAATTTTATTATTCCTATATCTTCAAAGTCTTGACATCGTGAGAATAATATTTTAAAATTTCAAATTAATTCAAATATTAAAATAAGCGAAACCTACGCCTTTCTACCAAAATTACCATCATCAATTTCCATCATTTTCTTCCCGCACATAGGGTACTTCCGCAAATTTACAAATTGCACCACTTCCTTTCAATCCCAATTTCCCTTCTCAAAGTAACCCCAAACTTTCGTGATCACTACAACATCTCTACAAATATTATTCCCGCTTATCTACCACTAATTACTTACACGTTTCAAAAATCATAGTCATATAAAATCTTCACGAAAAGTCAAAAGAACACAGTTTATGAATAGAAACACTGATCATGATTCACCAGCGATATGGAAGAATAACTTGTTTAAAAAAAAAAAAAAACAACTCGTAATCGTCGAAGTCGAATTTTTCTCTTCATCAAACGTTTATCGTTATTAAAATTGTTATTAAAAAGAAAGAAAGAAAGAAAAAAGGAAAGGATATAATTTTTTAAACCATATATATTCCGTATATATATATATTCCGTTCTGTCGAAGTGCGCGACGCGACGGGATCGCGCTTACGACTGACACATTAACTCATTCTCCAAGCCGCCGTGCTACAGGCTTTTCCTCCACCCACGTAACCAACCGCGTATCAATTGAGGGTACTATCACGAGGTCTAGTTCTGTAGAAGGTGTCTCGGAAGTGTCCTGTTAACTCGTCAGTTCCTTCGAGAAACTCTCTTCAATTGGTTATCAGAAATGTTTGTCATCGACCACGAAATTACTGGTCATCAAGAGACGAGAGATACAGACCAGATTATTGTTATGTATAATAATTTAATGTTATAAATAGAAGTAATATATATTATAATAAAATAAATCAGTTTATTATCACGGTATTAGTATTAATTTTGGATGTTTAAATATTTTAATTAATACCATGATAGAAGAATTGGGATTGCGTTGAAATTATGGGATAATTTGTTTTTTTTTTTTTTATTACAATTATATGGTTATTAAAGAAATTTTTATTATTAATTTATTTGATAAAAGTTTGTAAAATAACAATAGGGAATAATCTATCAATTGTATAGATACAAATAAATGTATCTATATCCTGTTTCGTGTTAATTTAAATTTCAATTTTGTCGACACATTTAATTGAAACACAATAGCCAATTGTTAACGTTTCGTTTTAACGATCATTATAATCTCTTAAATTCGTCGATTTAACATGTTTAGCAACCGTTTAATAAACGATGGGTGATCATTATTCGATAATTATTGTTAAAATGTTCGACCTACATATTATACAGTGTTTCGTTTAGCTGCACATCGCGAAACTGCTATTTAGTCCGGTATATATCGAAATTACTTAACAGTAATTTGTATGTGTAAAATTAACGGTGTTTGATAGCCGTCACGTATTACTCGTGACTTTATAACCTTGTTTACCAACAGATAAGAAATACCTTGCAATTCTATATCGAAGGAATTTCTGCGTTTTCCATTTACATTTGGTTTTAAATTAAGTGGATAATGTCTCGTGAGGAAAATATATAAGGATGAATTATGTTAAGAAAAATATTTTATGACAAGTAAGATGGTGTAATGTGACGAGTTACTTGTTCAACGAGGGAATGATTTATTTTTCTAACTGATGTTTCGTAAATGATAAAAATATACGTAATGGTGCAACAATCCTTGTACAATTTTTTACGCAAAGCGCATGCAACGAATATATATATATGCGTTGATAGATCGTTTAGTTAAAACCTGAAAGAATTTACAATGAAACCGAGAAAGTAAAGCTGATGGTTTGCACATACGTTTAAAATTATACATTGTAATATATTCACAGCGAGAACATTTATAAAAATTTTCACGATGAAGTCTGTGAATTACATTTAACGAACAAGTTCTTGACACGTTGCATCTAAAAATAAAATGAGATGTTAAAAAGGTGATGGATGGAAATAAGGTGGCAAAGATGAGATGTGAAATTTTTACGTAGATTAGAAAATTGTTTTAATTTTAAAAAAAAAAAAAAATAAGGAAATATCGAATGAACAGTGCGAAGAAATGAAAAATATCGGAAAATAGAAAAGAAATTGATGCGATCTAGTTAGGGAGATATTCAATCTAGATGAGTCTTAAAGGGTTTTGGAATAAGGAATACTTAACATAGTTTCAAGGAGATGAGATTCTAAGAGATCGCGACTGAATTCAGACAATGGCCTTCATTACTCGTGTCCAATCCCTAAAATTTTGAGACAAGTGAAAATTTGGTACATTTCCTCTCAAATATCTTTCGAGATTTCTCAACATCCTATTATTTCGTAAACAATTGTATCGATCTTTTTTATTTTATTTATAAACTAAATAACTTTAATCTATTAAACATTTATTAAGCTAAAATCTTAAATTGAAATTTCTCTCTTATTCGAATTCTTTTTTAGCGTCAAAATAATTTTAACACTAATAAGAACTTAACATATTTTTCTCGTATTTTTCGTCGTGTCGTACAGATATGTTCATTCGATAATTTTTATTCGTTACATTCGTTACATTCGTTAATTGCTCGGCATTCCCAATTTTTTCGCATAATTAGAAACGCATCTCAAAAACAGACTATCAGATTTCGTCGAAATATGATATCGAGTTCGATGAGAAAACTCAATATCGCTCAATATCGGGAATTGGACAACGCGATGCAACGAGATTGAGTTTAATTGCATGGATAACGTTATTCCGGCAATCGTATATCGCGTAATAGAGTCGTTGACGTTGATTCCATTTAGGCAAAAAAAGTCCATTTGCCGATGATACGTTATTGCCGATATTTTATCTCTCCTCGTTTTTTAATAGGATTAACTACGATAAGCAATATTTAAATTTTTGGCTTCGTTATTGCCATGTCAAATTTTTTAATACAAGTTTTGTATTTCGTGTACAGTATATCGTTTTTAATTAAAAATTAAACTGAAAACCGATATATTGTCGAAATGTAACATGGAATTCATTCAACCTATAAATTAATCCTCTCTAAATCGTTTAAATCGATTTCCTTTTATATCAGAGTTTTCATTATTTGAATAAATAAATTAAATGAAAACGTGAGAATAAATTCAAAATATTGCATATCAGGATATAATAAATAAATGATTATTCAAAGATCGCGAAAATGATCAAACTGGGATTTAAGGCCATTAGAAAGCCATTGAGGTCGTCAAAGTTGTTTCGATGAATGCGAGGATCATTTAAAAGTCGCATGAAGATCATTCGGGTCATGTAATTCTTGTACGTCAAGATCATTCAAAGATCACGCAGACTTCTTTGAAGTTTTATGATCGAGAACCATCATCAAGTTCATTTGGAAATTAAACGAAGGCCATCGAGGTCGTGTCGCCTGGATATTAAAATTATTTCAAGATCATATAGATTATTGTAATCGTGAATCTCACATTTTTTCCCTGGATTAATCAATTATAATAGGTTTCATTGTATTAACATTGGAATCTGTAATTATCTGTAATGCTATGCATTCATTTTCCAATATTGAATCAATTTATTGTTCGCTTCGTTCGTTTTGAGTTAAATTATTACGGCAATAATAATAATTTGTACGATATAATTTATGAATCTATTAAATGATGTGTTCATGGCCACGAGTTGGCTGACATATTATCTCCTATACTACTGTTTACGTAACTCGCGGAAAAAGATGATACAATGATAAAAAGGAATTGGATTCTAACTCGTTTCAACAAATTGCTTCAATCAAACAAAATTACGATAATAGTTTATTTGATATGTTTTATTCGAAACATAATCTTGTATCAATAAAATATGTTGTCGAAGAAACCTTATTTCGAAGTACCGATTGAAAATATATTCGAAATTCAATATTTAATTTATAATATATAATTTAATAGTTTTATCACAAGAATCTGCTTTTTATAAATAATTATATGATATAATCGTGTATGTTGTGTTCATACTATTTTATAGTATTGTAATGCTTGATTTTTCTGATAAAAAAGTAAAAAAAAAAAAAAAAACAGATTGTAATATAATCGTAATATCAATATATATACGTTCCTTTTTTCATAGAAAAATTTTGATTTGAGAAACTTGTAAATACTTGTTGCTTAGATAAATTAACAAACAAATCTTCGCCATAACTTCAGGAGAATGAAGGGAAGAAAACAGTGAAACGAGACTCGAATATCGAGAAGGAACAATAATAATTATATTTATTACGCAGTTTACAGTTATTTAGGTAGTGAGTTGAGTCGACGAAACAAATGCTTCTTCCATTTTTTTTCCCCCTCCCCCCCTTTTTTTATTTTTCCATTCTTTACCCAATAAACGGAACGCACTGCCTCGGACATTAGACGCGGGGCAAAGCGTCGTATCTCTCCTTCAAGGAATAATACAATTCGTAGGCTGGTCCGAGAACGAAAGCATTTGCTATACTTTTTTTTTTTTTTTCTTTTTTTTAAGCGTAAGACTCTTAAAACTGGTATACTTCAGTCGCATGCGCTATTAGTCCACCGATCGAGTGAAATATATTAAGGTTTCTTCGTTAAAGTAAATGTACAAATATAACTCGTTAGGAATTTCGAGCAATCACAAGTCTCGAACACTTCTTCTTCTTCTTCTCCTTCTTCTTTTTCTTCTTCTTCTTCTTCTTCTTCTTCTTCTTCTTCT